AACTCAAAGAATGACTAGTCATTTTTATCATGCAAATTCTGATAAAGTTACAAAAATAGTAATAACTAGAGCTATGAGAAAATATAAATTAGAAAATTTTTCATTGGCTATTCCGGATGCAGCGACAGCATGTTCTACATTACAAGAAAAATATTCGTGAGCCCCTGAGAACATGATGCTCTTTGTTTTTGTTTTTTTCTAATTCGTCACCTAATTTGACGTACCTCCTGATAGAAACGTTCACACTCCATCCGTACGTTTCTCCAGAACAGTTTCCGGTTCCCCGGGACACCAGCGCGTGTCATATGCAGCAAACTGATGCAGTTGTTAAGCGGCTCCATGCTGTCGCTCTCAGCGCCAGCAGAAACCATCATGCGAGGGTGGATAAATGGTGGTAGTGAGTCCTGTTGCAACAAAATGAGAGGATAGGACTTCAGGGTTTGCAAGATGAGGGTGGCAGTTCTTTTTGTTTTGGGTCCCATTGTCGGTCGATGAGCGAGTGAGCCAAGAATATCATGCGGTTGTCTTGGTATCGACATATACGAAGACAAAAACGTCTGCTGGCGGAGAAAGTTCTGAAGGGCCGAAGGTGTCGCCTCATGAACTGGCGTACGCGTCAAGGGTGGTGAGAATTGAACCATATCTCCTTTGGTCTGCCAGCTGCTCGTGGGGTCGACGAAGTCAAAGATTGGGTTGTTCCAGTCAAACCACTCATCTCCTGAGTTCGCCAGCGCGGTAGGGATTTGCGTAACAAGCTCATCTTGAAGTGTATGGTGGCCGATGTCGTGCGGAGAATCGAAAGGCGGCGAGCGTATTGTCCTTGATGGTTCGGTTGCTGGCGCATCGACACCCTCCTTATTACTGGCTCCCTTGCCGACGCTTTTGGATGGTCGGGCTGGATATTGACAATTTATATGTCTGGTCATACAGCTGGAGCAGGTAGGCTGTTTGGTATCGCAACGAGCTTTGCGTTTCGCACAGGCAATACAGGATCGAGCCCTGGAAGCAGCGCCCTCTTTCCGGGACCGGCAATAGTATCCATGTCTCTTGAGTGTGGACTCTAAACAGGGTCGTTTTAGTGTCCTTGCTCTGTCATCCCTGGGTAGGTGCTTAGGTACCATCATCGGCTACGGGCTCAACTCACGTTTATCGAACGGCTTATTACACTGGGGACATCGAAGGACGATCTGGGGTTGGAAATCCACTTCGGCCATTTCAATTTCGACCATAGCAGGCTGGGGAATCGTTGGTGTCGTCGTGTTGTGGGGTGCTTTCTAGAATATAGAGTCGTTGCTGCAAGGAGCAGGTTGTCAGCACCAACAAACGAGACCCCACCTCCTGTTTAAGGAGTTCCTTCGGGCGGGACAAATTGTACAATGCCAAGCATCTACAGACGGCGGAGCATTTTGTAAACACCGCACGAGGTACCTCGAGACGAAACGCATTCCTGTCTGACAAATGTCAAGATCGGAAGCTGAGAAATTGTATAACTCCGTTGCAGGGGCGCTTCTAGTTTCGTAGACAATAGAACCTGTATAAGAGTAGCTCCCATGGCACAGAGACCATATCTCAAGTCCTTCAAGCACTCGCTCAAGCACCCACACCAGCGTTCACTCACGCAACACATTCACATTCAAACTTCTACATCACCATCACCACCTACCTACCATCCACTCATCCGTCCTTCAAAAACAAACCCTCACAATGGCCGCCCCCTTCCCAACCCCCACCTCCACATGGCACAACACGACCTACCCCTCCCTCTCGCCGACCCGGCCCGAGCTGTCCGCCAAGGACAAGACAATACTCGTGACCGGAGGGGGCACGGGGATCGGCGCCGAGACGGCACGCACCTTCGCGGCGGCGGGCGCGGCCCGGATCGCCCTCGTCGGCCGCCGCCAGCAGCCGCTGCTCGAGACAAAGGCGGCCATCCAGCGCGAGTTTCCCGGCGTGGATGTGTTCGTGGCCTCCGCCGATGTTACCCGCAAGAGCGAGGTGGATGCGGCGTTTGAAGGGTTTCTTGGTGCCCGGGGGAGGCTGGATGTGGTGGTCAGTGGTGCGGCGGTGACGGGGCCGCTTGACCCTGTGGCGGACGTCGATGGTGACCGGTTCATTGACACTGTCAATGCGAACCTGAAGGGGGCCTTGTTTGTTGCGCAGGCGTTCATGCGCCATGCGGCGAAGAATGCGGTGGCGGTCAATATCTCGTCGTCGGCTGCCCATATCGACTTTGGTCCTGGCTTTGCCGCCTACAGCGTCGCCAAGATGGCCGCCGTCCGGCTCTGGAACTCGTTGGGTTCTGCGAACCCCGGGTTGAGCGTATTCCATCTCCAACCTGGGGTGGTGGATACGGATATGAATAAGGAAGTTGGCGGTGTCAAGGTTATCGGCCACGAGGACCATGGTAAGTAGCATCACGTTGGTTTCCGTGCTTGTCTGGAAAATCATGAAGCTGACCTTGCCTTTTTGTTAGTCTCCCTCCCGGCCACCTTCATTGTTTGGCTTACTAGCCCCGAGGCACGATTCTTGACGGGCAAGTTTTTGTGGTCGAACTGGGACGTGGATGAGCTCAAGGCTCGCCGCAACGAGTTGGAGTCGAGTAGACAGCTCAACGTTGATATTGTGGGATGGCCGTTTGGGGATACCAGCTTCAAGGCGGGATGGAGTAGTGATTAGGCTTTGATGTATTCGTACGAATTTCGACGAGGCGCAATCATCTTTTTTTAGTTTTTGCTGTGGTCGCGCCGCAACTCTATTTTCGTTGATCAACAGAAAAGAGTCCAAACAACGGACAAGCAAGCAAATCCTACTCGTCAGACGGGAAGTCTTGGCGGGCCCACCTGCTGTGGCTGCACCACAATGGGTGACGTGAGTGCGAGCTGCAGGGGGTTCGCATGTGCTTTCCAGAAACATGAATGATGGCGGGGTTGATGCTTGACCTGCAGCAGCGGGTCAACCCTCCCACGCCGCCCCCATGCCTGGCTTGTCTGGGGCTCTCGCCCAGCCTCGTGATGAGTGCTGCGGCTGACCCACCATGGCCTCGTCAGCACTTTGTCTCGCCCTTTTCTTTCACCCATAAAGTTTGTCATGTTGCCTTGTAGCTTACGTCGAAACTGAAACGAAGAGAAGTCAACCCCCAAGCTCTGGCTCAACCAACAAAACACAGCGCAGCCCCCATATTCATCCAAGGGCAAGATGCTCGACGAAAACCTGCCCACCTTTCGGTTGAAGCCATCCTCCGATAACCCGCATTCGAGTCTCCTCTATTTCACCCAGAACGGTTCCGAACCAGCGGCCGAGTACCTGTTACGGCGGGCAGACCCGGCGCTGCCCGCTTCGCGTAGCAAGTACGGGATTGCAATATGCGACCCTTATAACACCGACGTCATCTACGGAGAGGTGACGGTTGAACCCGAGTGGTCACAGCCGACCCTCTCTGCTGCCGAGATCCGCGCACAAGCCCAGGCCGGCGCGCCCCCAGCGCCGGCTGTGGCGCTTGTCCCAGACAGCTTTACGGTTCAGCTGTACAACCCCGACCAGTCGGTAGCCGTCAAGATGGTGACTGGGTCATGGGGCAAGAGCGATACCTGGGAGTTTGAGCTGCCCGTCCAGACCTTTCGCAAGCCCACGCTCAGTGCGCTGGATCGCGAGCAGCAGGACACCTCCCCTGCGGCTGCCGATCTGATCCCGCGCGTCATGTTTCGGTGGAAGAAGGACGGTCTGCTGAGCAAGGATATGACATGCTACATGACGGGACAGCGCCTCGGCACGCGCAAGAGCAAGGAGCCCGATATCACCATCGGCCTGTTCAAGGCCGCCCGTGAGAGCATTTTGACAGTCTACCAGCCGAACCTACATCGGTGTCGAGGTCGAAGATCGCAAAGGCCTCGAACTGGTTCTCCTGTTAGCGTCAGAAGTCATCAAGGACCTCTGGTTGGTCCCCAAGGCCGATATGTTCAATGTTCAGGGCGGGGGAAGTCCGGCACCGATCGCGGCGAAGAGGAAGAACTCCCGCCCGGCTGTCAACCTCTCCCCGGTAGGCCCAGCCGTGATGTCCGGCGCCCTGGCCAACATCACCCCTGCACAACCCGCACCCTCACAACCCGCACCGGCGCAACAAAGCACCAACACCACCAAGCCCGCCGTGAACCCGGAAATCGACGCCGAAACCCGCCGCCTGCAAGCCCTGGTCGAGCGTGAGCAACGCGAGCGCGAAAAGGCGGAGCGCGCCGAGCAGAAGCGCATCAAGAAGATGATCGAAGACGAAGAAAAAGAACGCCGCCGCCGCGAGGCCGAGATCGCCAAGGAGACAGAGCGCCTTCGCAAAATGTACGGCGTCGAGGGGCAGGACCTCCCGTCTGACCGGCCGTCTCTCCCGCCGCGCACCCAGCCCCCACCAGGACCCTCCCACGCAGCTGCCGGATACCCGCCGCCCGGGTCCCCGCAACAGCAGCTCGGCCCCTGGGGCTACGGTCCCCCGCCGACGCTACCCCCACGGCCGGTCAGCGCGGGGCCGCACTCGCGACCCCAGCAATCGTCTCCGCCCCCGGAGTTTAAGCCGCCGCCACAGCAGCAACAACAGCAGGGGTCCATTCCATTCCAGCACGCTAAATACCCTGTGGAAGGGGGCCGCTGGTGGGCTGCAGCAGTTGCAGAACCCAAGGGCAGAGGCCGTCGGGCCGGAGGAAGTCTGAGGATGAGAAGGCGAAGGTGCGGAAGAAGAGGAGTTCGCATTGGTAGGTGTTTTTAGGATATGTATGGTGGTTTTGGAGTAAGGAGTTGGCAGAGTTTCTGCTTCTAGTTATGAAGCGATAAAGACATGAGCGTTGCTGGCTTTCTTAGATTATATGAATCTCGATAGATGGTTCATAGCGTTCGCAGCGACCCCAACAACAGACTTCCTTGTTTTCTTGTTTATTATAGCAGCGTTCATGCATTCCCCAGTCATATATACCGCCCAGCACATAACAACCATAGGGCACCTTGGGATAGAAGCCAGAAAGTATTTTAAATGTCTTACTTGGAAAAGGGGGCCGGCTGTTTATCCCCTTTTGAACACCGAGAAGGTTTCATTGGCGTGCAAGTGAGCAACTGAGACTTTGGCTTGTTCCCTCTCTTCGTCTCATCACACTCATGTTCATCTTACTTTTCATATTTCATCTGATCACGGCCAATCTCATCCCTACAATTGCTTGCAACGAGCAACCCAATTCATCGCTCCCGGCGGAACCTAGACGGGGCATGCCTGCAAAATCCCCAACTGGGCACTTACACCGAGCTTAGCTGTCTCGAACCTCGTGTTTGCTTTAACAACAGTAGATTGACTCTTTCCAAGCTCCGCTCCTGTTTCAAACAGCGACCTGGCGTTGCATCGGCCGACGGAATCATTCATTCTGGAATGTCTCGTCCCCCCAACCAATTAACCAACCAACCCCCCCTCCCCTCCCAGCAGAACCGTCTTGCCATAGGCGCTCATCAAGTCGAGAACAGGTCCCCACCCTCGCTCGGCGTATGTAGGTGATGCGGGAGAGAGACCGGACCGGCCAGGAGGTGAAACGCGGGGTGGCCCGGCAGGTGGGGGCTTTTTTTTTTTTACTACATTACCTAGGACGGCCCAGAACCCGGGCGGTTTCAACTTCATCTTTGGCGGTGCTCCAGGGCTTGGCCTGGGACGGACAGCCTGCCTTGCTGTCGGCCGCGTGTCCCAAAAATGGTTGGGGGGGGGGCGGAGACAGGGTGCATGGGTTTGTTGTCGGCGGGAAGGGTGAATCGGGAAGCATCTTGTCGCTGTCATTGGATTGTGGGGCAGTGACACGGCTTGGGGCTGTGTGGCATGCAGGGCGAAGGGGATTCACTCGCTGGGTTGACTTATTGGTATGTTCAGACGGAGAATGCCCAGGAAGAGGCGCCCAATGGAGGCAGGGTAACTCGTTATTGATGGGTGCAGATCGAAGCCTTGTGGGTGGGCGCCCACAAAACCCATCGGCAGAACAAACCAGGCTTCAAAAGGTGACAACAAGTTCCAAAAGGTACCTCATCGATCGAGCGATGGAAACCGAGCGGAAGAAACCGAGAAAGGGAAAAAAACAAACCAGAAAAAGAAAAGAAAGAAGAACCAACCAAACCAGTTTTTATTCCTTGTAGCCGATGACGTTTAGTTGCCTATTCAGCATTCCACATTTGGAGTCCAGCTGGGTTATTCTGCCCATGGTGTTCGAGGTATGGTAATGCACGTTTGTGCATGTTTGGACGTAACCGTATCGCTAGCTGCCTGGGGAGCAGGCGCTCGAAAGTTTCGGGCTGCATAAGAATATTGGGCGGGGTTCTGTGGCTGGAACCAAGCTCATTCTGGTGTGGTTCGGGAGCTTTATCGACAAAAGATCCCGCCAATAATGAAATCCAAACCGTGAGGGCACCTGACGATCATCTCAGACAATGGCCAAATTATCGAATTGTTGTTGGAAGCTGAAGACCTGGCCTCGTGAGGCCTTTTAAACCATGTGGACGATATCTAACCCGCAACTACAGCCGCTCGTTGATGCGTAATAGCAGCCAACGTTAGCGTCGACGAGGTACTGGGTAGGTAGTTATGGCGATGGCTAGTTGTGATACTACAACCAACTGCGAGCATATATCGGTAGGTACATAGACTACATACCGTATCTCTATATATGTATGCGTATGTTGATGTAATGTACATACTTTATAGTTACACCCCGCCGAGGGGATTCGGCAGATTTGAGATGGGTTGCGCCAAAAACTTGAAAGTAACTCGACAAGACTCGGAACTTCCAGGTCGGGGGTTGGTCCCATCCACATCAGTTGAATCGGGTCCTGTCACTTTTTTGGAAAGGTCACTTGGAGTGCCTGGTCAGGGCCCACAGGGGTCCGGTAAGCCGGCAGGGGCCAAAGGGCAAATTTGACGCTAGGACAGGTTGGGAAAGGGCACCATCAAGCGGCCAAGCGAGCGGCTACCCGAGCCCGCAATCATCAACCTCTCCGCCCGCATCGACGACCAAGAAGCAAACCCACCAGGCCCGCTTTCCCTCCACCGTTCTTGCCTTTCGACCGCCGACTCTAAACCCCGACACCAGCCCGGCGTTTCCATCCCATCGCAATAGACGACCGCTGCTCCGATTTGGTATTGAGGGGCCGAACGCTCCTGCGAGAACCCGTTGCTGCCGCTGCCTCTCCCCCCTCCGCACCCGATCGATCGGCTACCACCCGCATCCCACAAGCGCCGATCCCAAACCGTCTCTCCTCCCTTGTCGACACTGACACTTCGCTCAACCCCGCCTTGCTTGACGCCTTCGCTACCTCCGTCGACTTGTCAACTCAAACAGGAACACGCTCGCGGTTCCTGCTTCTCTCGGCTTTAGTCGCTTTTTTGGGAGCGACTGCAAAACCGTCACCCTGGCCCTCGCCGCAGCCCAGGCCGTGAGGGCCCCAATATACCCAGTTATGAATTTCGATTCGGGGACTGCATATGCAGAGTCGGATGCCGACGACGAGTATGAGAGAGATATGCATAACAGCTCGCCCATCGCTACCGACCTCGAGACCTCCCCCATCGACTCGGACCCGCCATCGGCCGAGCACACACCCACCACCTACGGCTACCGCGCAAGTGCTGACAGGCTACCCGAGACCATCATATCCGAATGGACCGCCGACGAGTGCGCCGACTTCATCGCCAGCATAGGCCTGCAGCAATACGCAGACATTTTCCTTGGTAAGCAGACGCTTGGCCAGGCGCTGGCGGATTGGCAACTGCTGACACAACTTGGTCCAGAAAATGAGATAGTCGGCGAGGCCCTCGTCGCCTTGCAACATGAAGACCTCAAGGCGATGGGGCTCAACAGTGTTGGCCACAGGCTAACCATTCTCAAATCGGTGTTCGATGTGAAGAAGGCCCAAGATGTTCCCATCGAGTCCGATCACTATATGCCGCTAAGTAGGTTCTTGTTTCAAGACGTCCCTGTCTCTCAAATCACCTCATGTTTTAACACCCGGGATTCACAGCTGCCGAGACACAAGCTCAGTCGTCGTATGCGACGCTAAAAGACATCAAGCTCCTCGTGGAGCAGCTACGCCTTCGAGATGAGCGAATATCATTAGTTGAACAGGATATCCGCAGGTTAATGGACGATTACAGGAGATTGCGGGAAGATGTACTCCCGGCAGTGCGGATGGTCAAAGATGCCCAGCAGCCTCTGCCCAACCTGAGTAACGGCCCGGCTTACGAGAGCACCTTATCGCCCCCCGCGCCGACACCATCGACCGCCCAGTCTGCCGTGGGACTGAAGCGGCAATACTCGACCAAGGAAATCATGCTTGGGACAACTGCCAAAGCCACATCCCCGACGCACCTACAAACAAACCACGATCGGTCGATAGTAGAACAGACCCTCGACCCGTCCAGCGCCGCCGAAAGAGCCGTCCTCTCGTCGTCACATTTGGCTGCCATGAACGGGTCCGGCGGAAGCGCATCGTCACCATCCTACCCTTCTCCCAACATGCCCTCCCCGACCTCGCCACCCACCGGCATGCTCTCCGGTACCACCCTGGGTGCACGCTCCTACCGTGCTGGCGGCGAACCGACCCCTTCATCCCGCTCCACCTTCGCGCCCGACGACTCCTACAATCAAGCAAAGAACACGGCCCCGCGGAGGATGCAAACGCCCGCCCCGGAAACGCCCGGCGCCGCAAGCAACGCCTCAGTCGAAATCTTCAAGTCCTTCCGCGTCAGCATGGACGACCCCTGCTACAAGGTCCTACCCGCCGCACTCAAAAAATACCAGATCAACGCCCCCTGGGACCAGTACGCCCTGTACATCGTCTACGGCGACCAAGAGCGCTGCCTGGCCCTCGACGAGAAACCCCTCATCCTCTTCAAGCAGCTGGACAAGGAGGGCAAAAAGCCCATGTTTATGCTCCGCAAGACCAACAACGCCTCCGCCGACGGCGCCGCCGCCCCCGACGGGACCCCAGGCAGCGCGGGGCTTGTGGGACCCGGAAGTAGCACGGCCGCTGCCGCTGCTGCCGCCGCAAGGGGCGTCGGTGGTGCCGGTGTCGGCTATGACCCGCCGGGAGGTATCATTTAGGGCGTGATGAATGAACTCCCCAGGCCATGCATCTGACTCGCGCGCGTGTGAGGTGGGGAGTGCGGAGTTGGGTGGGACGACGGGGGGGCGACACTGACTCGGCCTGTCAGGTGGGGAGCGGGGGATGGAGTCGGTTTTGTGTGTGTATAACTTTTGTTTGGATGTGTGGGTGGGAAGTGAGTGGTCCGGGGGGGAGTTGGGCTTGGGCTTGTTTGTCGCAGGGTGAGAAGGGATGATTACAGAGAGAGAGTTGGTTTTTCACTCCATCGAGAAGAGGAGGAAGCGAGCAAGCGAATGGTGGTGGGGGTTAGATAGGATAGGTGTTAGGTTTGTTGGGGGCCATTTTAGGGAATGGGATACAGGGTTGGTGGACTGTAGGTTTGTTTGGAGAGCAAGGAGGGTTTTGGAATTAAAAAACAACAAAAGGGGGCATTCTTGTTCGGTAGTCTTGGTAGTGTTTGTTTGTGGTAGGGTAGGGTGGCCTGGTGGTTTTGTCTCTGTCTCATCTATATGCATTTGGTTACCCACATTGTCTGGGTTGGCAAGCGCTCGTCTTTGGCGGCATGGCTCGCTGCCCATTCCTGTTCAAATCTTACCTTTCTGATGTGCATGGTGCTGTGAAGCCATCTAGCCCTCCGCCAACTTGCTGCAAATAAACCAACCATGTCGTGTTGGGCGGGCAACCATTTCTCCTAGATTAGAAAGCTTCTGCTGCGTTGCACTCACTTCCAACTACAAAAAATGAGGTGGAAAGATATTCTCAGGACACACTACAGAGAACCTCTACAGTCAGGTTTTCCAACCCCTATTCCGTACACGCTCGAACGAACCACAACAAACGCCCCAAGCCAATGGTGTAATCCTGTAAAGGCACCGCTCTCGTCCCGTCCGCCCATGTTATCCTTCCCAAAAAAAAAACCTAAAGTAAAGCATTGCTCTAATGAGTTCGCAACTCCCCCTTACTCGAGGAGACGAGGCTTCCCCATGGGTTGGTGTCGAAGCCGGAGCCACGAGCCTCTCTATCCATGACTTGGACAGATGCCAATCCGATTCACACAATCCAACAACCCCATGATCTAGGCGCCCACCTCACCGATATCTCCCATTGGTAGGCTTATTCCTCGCCCTCTCAATGGTTCCCTTAAACTCCGAGTAGAGCGCCTTCACCATGCCGCTTTTCTCCCAATGGTTCATGATCTTATCGACCAGTTCGTCCTTCTGCTCAGACTCCATGTTCTCTCTCTCGGCCACCTTGTTGGGGGCCATGTGGCCTTCGATGTGAAGGCGGGTATCCACAAAGACAAGGAGGCCCATCTTCCAGTGTATGAGGTCATGCGCTGTCTCGGCGTTGCTGTTGCAGACCGCGCCGACATACCACTCTTTCTCAGCTTTGGGGATGTGGTTGCCGTCCTCGTCATCGTCGTGAGATTCGGAGCCCGAGTCAGCTTCGCTGTCCATCTCGACAGACTGGAGGAAGCGATCGAGCTTCGCGGTGTTCTTGTAATAAGGCTCGCCGGTAAACTTCATCGAGTATCTGTAGCGGTGGCGTTAATTGAGGGACTCTGTCCCCATGACGATTCCAGCTACTTACTTGGCGGGATGGCCAGACCTTCCACAGGCGCCGCAGTTTTGACCCTCCAGCATGGCGCCCCTAAAAATGTCCGCGCTGTCAAAGTACGGTCGAGCCCGGAGTGCCATGTAGAAGTCCTTTTTCCAAGCAGAGGAGGAAAACTTGGAATTCGCGAGGCCTCGGACTTCGTCGTCCAGCTTCCTCCACGCCATGCGATACACATCCGCTTCCCGCTCGGGGAACCCGGGATTGACCTTGAACTTCACCAGCCACTCTATGGCAACCCGGAAATACACCTTGAGCGGCGCTTGCGCGTAGCCTGTATATTCTAGGGGAATGTCGTCATGGTCTTCGTCGGGTGCACCGAGGGGAGCGTCGCCGTCTTCGACAACGAAGTCGTCCATGCTCTCTGGATCGTTATCGTCATCGTCGTCGTCCTCGGCCGCGATACGATTTCGCTTATTCTTGCTCTTCTTTCTCTCGGCGGTGACTGATCTGGGCTCATTGACGCCCTCTTCGTCGTCCTCGAACTCTTCAAGCGCGACAAGACTTGAATCGGTGTCGTACATGGGCTTCTCAGACTCCTCATCGGAAAATAGCGAATCATCGTCCTCGTTAATAACCTCGCCAGCACGCTTCCGGCGGAGGAGCTCTCGCGCTTTCTCTTTTTGTGTGAGTGGCTTCCGTCTCACCCGGTTAGCGTTGGCCAAAGATGGCGTTGGCGGTTCCTCCTCGTCTTCGGCCCCTGTTTTTTCCATTGTTGGACTGGAAGCCACATTTTTCCGAACGAGGCGGCGCCGCTTGATGGATTGGGGGATGGGGGACTGTTCGTCCTCGTCACTCTCGCTGACAACCAAGTGTCTCTTGCGCCTGGTTATGGGGGTGGCCAGGGGTTTGTCGTCGTCTTCTCCCTGGTCATCAGTCTCCCGAGTTTCTTTGCCCTTTTCAGATGAGCCATTGCTCGATTCCGGCTCCGACTCCGACTCCGATTCCGACTCCGACCCTGACTCGAAAAGCCGAGATCTCCTCACCCTCCTCGTCTCTCTCACAGGAAGCGCCTGCTCTTGCTCATCCTCGCTCGTCTCTTCCGAAGAGAAACCCGGGAGAACGGCCCTCGCTTTCCTCGAGCTCCCAGGCACCTGGGATGAGCGCATAAATGACGATGGGGGTGCCGGAGGCGAGCTGCTCAGGGGAGCCGCATTCCTGACTGGTGAACTAGCCACTGGGCTTCTCTGGACAGCCTTGCCCTTTTTCGTCCAAGGGCTCCTTATGGTTGGCCTCACCGGCGGGCGGCCTGGGGACGCATTAGCATGCCTATTCATGGATATGGAAGACGGGTCATGGGAAAAGGTCTCACCAAGAGTCGCCTCCAGTGTCTGCTGTTTCTTTTTCTTAGGCTTCACCATCTTGCCAACATCGACAAGATAATGCGGCAAAATTAGCGAGGCCCGTGGCCAATTTTGTTGCTGGGCCAAAGGATACCTTGTCAGTCAAAGACTAGAGTTTGATAGCAAAGGTTGATTTAATCAGACTTCTTCAAAAGACCAAACGGCCATGTATTTGAGGTGCACAAGTACGTCATGTTCGTGTCACGCAAACGGGCGCACTTACAAATTTGGACAGCGTCGGCTCTTAAATAACAGAACTCGATTTAGATAGAAGAAATTAAGATGCGGAGGGTAAGAAGCCGGATGCCGTGTTAAAGTTGCTGGTATTTGGTAATGCGACAGTTAAAGTTGATCGTCGTTGGAAGGGAACAGGGAAGAAAAGTGATCCGTACGGTGATTACCGCGATCAAGGGATGAGAGAGAACAATTAGTGAAAGGCCCAGGAAGGTACAGCACATTTCTGCAAACGGCGCGCGGGAGAGGAAGGCGATGGCACGTGACGACCTTCGTGCATGCATGCTCTTTAGTTATTCAACTTGGTAAAAAACACACAAGATGAAAGCCAGGACAGGAGGGGATGCAGACCAAAAAATTACACACCAAAACCGAGGTAATGAGCGAGACAATACAATATGCAGTCGTACACACAAGGTGCAGTATTCTATTCCATAAGTATCCCTCATTATTGTGACAATCCATTCCAACACCCCATTCATTCCCCTCTGCCCAAGAACCAGCTGTTCCCCTCCTGACGCCGCTGACCGTCCATCCCAACTCCAACCCCTACATCAGAGTATGTATGTGACGGCGAGTACATTACGTTACGAGTCTGTGACTTCCTGCAAAAGCCAGAGCGAGATGTTTGATGCCCTCCCTCAAGACAGACCTGACAAACCATACCCTTCGAAGATTATAGACATTACCACCGCAGTGACGTTCACCCAACCACCGCCGGATCTTTGAGTAGCAGGACCAACACACAAACGCCCTGACAGCAGCGTTATACAAAACGAGTGTCCCATACGCCCCGTTGCGTTCAAGGAATCCCTTATTTCATTTATATACACCAACCATGTCGCTCACTCCTTATCGAAGCTGCTCCTTGGCATCCTGCACACCGCGTTCAATCACATCTTTCAGCTTCCACCGAGGTGCCTTGACAACACCTTCAAGGCCGTTCGCCTTGCGCCACTCGTGCTCCATCTCAGGGGTGACGCCGTCGGGCAGCGGTTCTTGGCCGCCAGCAATGCCGGTGGAGTACTTGAGCTGCAGGATATCACCGACCTCGTCGCAGGCGGCAAGGATACGGTCCATGTCTTCCTTGTTGTGAGCTGACGAGATACAGAAACGGGCTCGCGAGCTGATGAGCGGCGTGGCCGGGTAGCCGACGACAACGACCGAGATCTTGCGCTTGAGCATTTCGTGGCTGAAAGCTGACATTTTGCCCGGGTGGTACAGGACGATGGGAATAATGGGTGAGTCGTCGTGGCCGTACGTGATGAAACCGAGTCGCTTGAGTCCAAGACGCAGGTACCGCGAGTTGAAGGCGAGGCGTTGCAGGCGCTCCTCGCCTTGACCGGGTGCAATCTCGCCGGTGATGAGCCTGAGCGAAGTGAGAATCTGCATCAGGACCGAAGGAGTCGCTGACTCCCCGAGAAGGCTGGCCGCGTTGGCAATCCGAAGCCCGTCAATAATGTTCTTCTCGCCGGCAATGTAACCACCGTTGGCACCGAACGACTTGGTTAGGGTTCCCATGAGAATGTCAACCTCAGCCGGGTCGATACCGAAGTAGTCGCAAACACCGCGGCCCCTCGGCCCAAGCGCTCCAATGCTGTGGGCCTCGTCCACATACAAGAAGAACTTGTACTTCTTCTTCAGGGCCAAGACGCCGGGAAGATCGACCATGGTGCCCTCCATGGAGTACAGGCCCTCGACCGCGACCAGAATCTTCTTCCACGGCCGGTGGGTGCGCGGCTGGCCCTGAGAGATGGCCTCGCGCAGCTTCCTCTCCAAGTCCCCCATATCGTTGTGGCTGAACGACCTAATGACCGCGCCGGACATACGAGCACCAATGCGGATTGAGGCGTGGTTGAGCTCGTCCGACAGAATAAGGCAGCCCTTAGAGACGAGCGCCGGGAACGAGCCCGCATTTGTCACAAAACCCATCGAAAATACCATGGCGGCAGGCTTGCCGACGAACTGGGCAACCTCACGCTCGACTTCCAGAGCCAACTCCGACGTTCCAGAATCAGCACGCGGGCTGGCGAAGCTGAGACCAGTCTTGCGGACGCACTCCTCAACGGCGTCGGCGCAGGGGCCTTCCGAGTTGGCGAAACCCAGGTAGTTGTACGAGCTCACGTTCAGGGTCTGGGTGTAGGTGCCCGTGTACTTGTAGGTACGGTTGAAATCGTCCGATTTACGGTCGATGAGGTTAATGTAGCGGCCAGGCACGCCGGTAGTGGGCCTTGCAAAGCAGTCGTCGAGGCGGAGCTTCAACCTCCTAACGTAGAAGTTGTCAAAGTCGTCGTTGAGCGGGGCATAGCCATTGAAAACCTTGAGGCTCTGGTAATGTTTCTTGTCTCCAAATCGCTTGCCGAAGAAATCTCGTGCGTGGCCGAAGAAGATCAGGAGCAGGTAGCTGATATATGTGGTAAGGACAAAGTAGTAGTGAGGCTCGTCTTCGATGAGCGTCTCGAGGAGTTTGCCTTGATGGGCGCTGATGTTCAGGTGGCTTGGATCGAGGAGGCGTCCAAATGGGCATCCTGGGCGCTCCTGCATTTCCGCCTCGTCGGCAGAAGGGGGCTCAAAGAGGGTGGTGGGTGTCTCGTCCGTGTTGAGCTCGGCTCCGTGGGCTGCCGACAATGAGATGGTCGGGAGGGGGCTGGGAGACGACATCCTGGGCGATGCCACCTGGTGGTGTAGCGCTTGCTCTTTTGACTTGGACGAGAAGAAGCCGGCGAGACGGTTTCCTTTCGACTGAGAAGGTCGGCGCTCGCCTACCTTCTCAGACGATGGCATGGCGGATGTCGAGAAGGGATTCGGGAGCTTCCGAGGCATCGCTGTCGGCGTGGACGGCGCTCCTAGACAGTGCAGCTGACGGGGATCTCGACGCTGATCGCAGGCACGATTTTGATGATTGATTACGCCAATGGATACTACAGAAAGCCGGTCGTTAGCAGGGGTTTTCTGTGATTTCTAAAAGCCGACGCGGCAATTGGCCGCAACCCTCCAAGTCCGTAGGTCGACTCCCAAGCAGGTGTGATTCTGGGGGGCTGGATGGGGGCTGGGCACCCCCTTATGCAGCCCCAATCAACAAGCGGCCGCCGAGACTTGATCGCAAACTGTTGTGCCTGGATCGATCCATGATAAAATATAAATATTACAACTTACCCTCAAAATCTCGCCGAGTTGAGGGCGTGAGCGTTGAACTGATATCGTCGGTGCAACTGGAAATGACGTGCCGGTGTGGTGGAAAGCTCCTTAACCTAGCGAATGAGAAGCTGCGTCGAAAGCCGCAAAGGGGGCGATGAGAAAGGCCGGACGAATGCTTGCCGGGGCAGCTATCGGGGGAACGCCGGGATGGGAGAAAGGAAAAGAAAGAGGAACTCGCGCCCCAGGTCGCCGTCGCCCTCGGTTCTGGACGAATTTGCGAAAGGGGGCTCTTGTCTTTGGTAGGTTTGTCAGGCGACAAGAACAAGAAACGAAGTTCAACGAGAAGGGACAGGGCGAGCGCGAAGTGGACATGCAGAGGATTTCAGGGAAACGGATTTGGGCTGGTGTCAAAATTGACGAATCGGGGCGCCAGGGACGGAGGTTGTGGGTCGCCGCTTGCCGGCAAACCCACCAGCGCAATTTGAAAAGGCAGCCCTGTGCCTCCCGTTCAACCCCCTGACGGGTTCTTGGTGCTCGCCGATGCCGACGGGTCCGGCTGGGCTGCGACTGTCCCTTGCTCGCCTGGATCGATCATCACGATGAGATTGAGACGGGGTAATCACCCCTCTCGAGTTTGCGGGGTGACAAAGTTATGGTCCTTGTCGAGGTATTGTAAGTATGTACGTAGGTAGTGTAGTTTGGGAATCTCAATTCATTCGGTACCTAGATAGGTAGACTTGCAAACATAATTTGGCTATTTTATTCAGGTGCTCAACCCGCACGCGGCATAAAAAACGTTTCCGGCAGCTTCGCGCGCATCACCTAACCCAGCGTGTGCCGAGCTATCAGCGCATGAGCACGTCCGGGACGTCCCCATTGGGCGAGGATCCATCTGCAACCTTGGATTGCGCAACAAACTGTTCCGCGTACCTCACTAATAGTGGGCGGTGGGATCCCGGGAAATGAGCTTACAGTTTCAAGGTCAGTGCTAGTAAACCCTAAGCTTCAACAGTAAGCGCAAAAGAAGAAAGAAGACGTGGAAAGAAAACCCTCAACTGGAATGTCGGTGATCCCAGGTACCTAACTACGCCTGACAGTTTGCCTAACGAAGCAAAGCTTTGGCAGTGACCCCTAACGCAGCTCGAAGTGAGAGCGGCGTGCGTTTGGGAGGGAGGAACAGACACTCTGGGCTTTGATACCTGGTGGATATCCATAAATTGACCATGTAAAAGTAAGGTGGTACGAGAGGATCTGTCAGCTCCCCTGTGATTCAACTCGGCAGGCCCGGCAACGGGGTGATTTCGGGACCTGGGGCCGAGTGTCGCATCCGCAGATAAAGTTAAATATAAGCGAGCGCGGCCTTCCCCGGCGAAATAACGGCACGCAGCGGTTCACATCGCCGGTCTACTCGGCGGCTCGCTTGTTGCTAGTGACGCCAACGACATGATTCCTCGTGGGATGACCTGAGTGCTCCCTTTCCGTGTATTCTTGCTTTTGTATAGGTAACCACCTAACCGGTTGGCGCTTGCAAATGACCCTGGCAAAAAAGACATTCATACCCACAACAGGGGGAAACGCCCAAGCAATAATAATACCCAGGCTCCCTCTGGCCAAAAAAACCGAACTCGGAATACGAGAAAGAAAACAAGAAGAGAAAAAGAATTCAAGGAAAGAGAAAAGAAGTACAAATAAAACGAGAAAAGAAATCGAGTAAAGTAAAAAGTTCTTCCAAATGGCTTTCTTTTTCTTTCCTCTCGTCAAAGCTTCGTCGGCGCCTACAAGTATTACACTTAGAGTTCGGCTTTTTTTGTCCACAGAGCGCCAGGAACCACGCACGCCATGTTCATCTTGAAGATCAAGAAGTAGGGTGTGGGTCGTCTGTGAAAATCCAGCGGGCCAGCCCGGTCGGTACCTGCATAGGTAGCAACGGGACCTGAAAGCGATGGAAGGGATACTGCGGCTTCCAGGTTGTGGCAATTGTCGGCTTTGTGTTTTAGCCCAGGCTCGGGTCTTCCGAGCCTGCGGCTTCTCCCTGGAGCGGGTCGGGGCAAATCCCGCCTTTTTGGAACTCAGGGCCCGAATTCGGTAGGAACCTCGGGCAAGACCTAACAGGCCAGGACCTTCCACACTCAGAAAGACACGACAGAGAGGAACTCCTTCTGTTTTCATGTCAAGAAGTTGAAGTCATCTCACGGTAGCTCCACTAGGTATCTTAGGCACCTCTTCTGCGCGTAGCAATTCTGCACACGTACACCTTACTACCCAGCTACCTTGCACTTTCATAATTGCAACTCACTGCACCACTCACCCGCAACAGCGGCAAGATGACGGCCACCGAACTTTGGAAACACGAACGCCCCGAAGGCACCCAGATGTGGAGGTTTCTGGAACATGTGAACTCCAAGTACAACCTGAACCTCAAAGACTACCCGCAGCTGTACAAGTGGTCCGTCGACAATGTTGCTGATTTCTGGGGCGACGTTTGGCACTTCGCCGGTATCAAGGCCTCAAAACCCTTTGACCAGGTGCGTGAGGTGATCATTGCTGGGGATGGATAATAATGACTTCCCTCCCTCCCCGGATAACCTGCCCTCTCCCACCTAGAGAAAAAAAAAAAAACTTAAATCTTCCCTAGGTTTTGCCCTCCGAGGCTCCCATGTTCCCCCGACCTGATTTCTTTGCTGGCGCCCGCCTCAACTTTGCAGAGAACCTGCTCTTTCCTGCCAATGTCGAGATTGACGAGTCGACGACAGCCGTCATCACAGCCACCGAGAACGATAACCACCTCGTTGAAACATCCTGGGCCGAGCTGAGGGACCAAGTCCGCCGCTGCTCTAATGCCCTCCGCGCTATCGGTGTCAAGGAGAACAGTGTTGTTGCCGGTTTCGTAGCCAACCATGTGCAGGCTCTAGTTGCTTTGTTAAGTGCTGCCACCATCGGCGCCATCTGGACGGGTATTAGCCCGGACAACGGCGTGAGCGCGGTATTAGACCGACTCACCCAAATCCGGCCACAGGTGCTCTTTACCGATAATGCCACGCTGTACAACGGTAAGGAGTGGTCGGGTAAGGCGAAGACCCTTGACATTGTCGAGGAGCTGAAGAAGCATGGCCTTGAGCAAGTGGTTGTCATTAAGGGCCTCGAGAATGTTGAGACTGGGCTGGACGAAATTCGGGAAAAGGGGGTTCAAGTTGAAGAGTTTCCTACTTTCCTTGACTCGTAAGTCCCTCGTTACCGCCGCGATAGTTACTCGTTCTAATTGTATCAGATCACCAAACTCTCCCTTGGATTTTACCCAGCTCCCGTCTTCCCATCCCCTCTACGTCCTCTACTCCAGTGGCACGACCGGCCTCCCGAAAGCTATCGTTCATACTGCAGCCGGCACTTTACTCCAGCACAAGAAGGAACATTTCCTGCACTGCTCACTCTCCCCGGCTTCTCGCATGCTCTACTTTACCACGACTTCCTGGATGATGCATCACTGGAGCGTCTCTGCTCTCGCCTGCGGCTCATCCCTCGTTCTGTACGCCGGTTCCCCATTCAAACCGCATGGCTACTCCTCCATTCCCCGGCTCCTCTCCTCTCTCCGAGTAACCCACTTCGGCACTTCGGCCGCCTACCTCACCACCCTCGAAGCAAACAATGTCCGCCCGGTCGCCGACCCCTCCCTGGACCTCTCCGCTCTTGAAGCCATCTACTCCACAGCCTCCCCCCTCCCACCCTCCACATTCGCCTTCGTCTACACCGCCTTCCCCCCCAACATTAAACCTCTGCCTCTCATCTACTCGGGGGCGACAGAATATCATCTCTCTCTTTGGGCGGCACCCTGCCCTTCTCCTCTCCGGTCCTGAGCCGTGCGAAATCCAGTAGCTGCCGGCCTTCTGGTATGGCCATTCAGCGTTGTCGACCTCCGCTCTCGCCACTCGACTCGCCGCAGCTCAGTCAACCTCTTCTCCCGATGGGCAACACCCCCCCCGCCGGGCGATCTGGTCTGCACGAAGGCCCTTCCCCTGCCAACCTCTCACCTTCTTTGGCGCAGACGGTGACGCCAAGTATCGCGCCGCCTACTTCGAACGGTTCCCTGGCTTGTGGCACCACGGCGATTTTGTGCGCATGGACCCCCACACTGGCGGCCTGGTGATGCTGGGCCGCAGCGACGGCGTGCTGAAGCCCGCCGGCGTCCGCTTTGGCAGCGCTGAAATTTACAACGTGCTCACGCGCTTCTTCGCCGCCGATGTCGAGGACGCCGTCTGTGTCGGGCGCCGCCGTGAGTCGGACCGCGACGAGACCGTGTGTCTGTTTGTTGTCGTGGCTGAGGGCCGAGTGTTTGATGATGAGGCTGCGCAAGAGGATCGTCGAGGTTGTTAGGCGCGAGCTAAGCCCGCGACACGTGCCGGGTGTGATTGAGGAGGCGAAGGGTGGAGTGCCCAAGACGGGGAACGGGAAGAAGATCGAGGTTGCTGTCAAGCAGATCTTGTCTGGTATGCAGGTCAGGACCAACACGAGTGTGGCTAACCCGGAGGCGCTGGATTGGTTTCGGGAGTGGGCGAGGAGGACGGAGGAGAAGGAGGCGCTCCTTGGCTAGGCGCGTAGGAGAGTGGGAGTGGCTGACGAAGAGAAAGGGCTAAACTATGGCAGCGGTAGGACGGGGTGCTCTGGTAAAGGTTAATAGATAATAATTGCCCTTACCACAACATTATCACCATCTGCTCTAGCCGCCGAAAATGTGCCTGCCGCAGCATTCTAAAACATTACCATCCTGACTTACACCACAGCAGTAGCAGAGCCATCAAAGCAGGGTCCATCTAGTAACGATAACAACAAGTCTGGATTCCGATTCAGCGCCAGGCTTCCAATTCAAGCCAGGCCGGCTATCGTAACGTAAACACCAAAGACCAGCCAACCACCACTCCTATACTCTGCTGCTCAGCAACAAATCCTCCCGATACCTGTCGCACTTCCACTAACCATCTCTGTGAAGCTCGGAAAAATACAACCTGCTCTGGCCACCCCTTTTCCCTTTGACGCTACCTAGCAGATATGTAGGTAGAATAGCATTTGACGAAAACCCGAAACACCGCTTGCCTTAAGTCAAGACAAGCCATTTTGACCGCGTGCCTCCCTTTTCCCCTTTTGCTTTTTTGAAATCCATCGCTCGCGAATAAAAAAAAGAAAACCGCGCGCATCTGAAAGAATAAACACTCGCCAAGGCAATTTCCCTCCTTTTCTCCGGGTCTTTTCTTTTCGGTTTCCCCCCGTCGGTGCGTAGGTAGGTAAGGAAGGAAACAGCAGGAAGAAATCAACACAAACAAATCAGAACCCATTCCCGTCCATGCCAAAGTTATGATGATCCATCGGTGTCCATGGCCATGTAATTCGAGCAAGTCAAGGCCGCCGACATTCACGCCCTCCGCCGTCATCGAAGACGGCGTTGCTATCAATGTTCTGGAAAAAGGCGGCGCCTGTGGGCAGGTACCACATTTCGTTGTTGGGGTTGGCCCAGTCCGGGTTGTCGAACAGGCCGCTGCTGTCTCCGATGCTGCTGCCCGGGGTTGGCGTTGGGGTTGCTGGTGTTGTTGGCGTTGTTGTTGTCCAGCCCAGTGGTGGCGGCGGGCGTCGATGGCAAACATGGACGTTGAGCCGGTGGGGTAGGGGAACGTTCCCGCTGTGAGGTCCCATGGGGTGGCAGAGATGTTGGCTGGGGTTGTGGAGCGGTCTATGGATGAGGTTAGCGTGTGTCTGATGAAAAAGCCGTGAATATGGCGGTGATGATAAGAGAAGAACTTACCGAGACCAGGCCCTTCTCTCAACTTGAGCCACACCTCGTTGGAATTCGCTGCATGCGACAGCCCGTTCAAGCCACTCCCATTCGCGAGATCACCATGCGTTGCCCCGGGCGACCTGCCATCCGCCGACATGGCGGCAGGCGGAGGCGCATAGATGAACCGGTTCCGCAGCCGGCTAGTCAGGGTCTCGAGCATGTCGGCAAAGCGGATGCCTAGGTGGACATCGTCGACAACACAGTTACGGAGAGCGCTCACGGTGCGATCCATCAGCTGAATGCTCAGCTCGACGTCGGACTTAGGCGCGCCGAGCGCAAAGGTCTTCAGCAGGAACATAGCGCCGCTGATGATGCGGAAGTAGGTGCGCACGGGCGCGTGCTTGAGGTAGTCCCCGGGCAGCAAGCCCTCGACGACGGTCCGGAGCAGGTTCCGGCTGCCGTTGACCACTTCCCTCACGTACTCTTGATCCTCGGCGCCAAAGCCACCTAACTGCCCAAGTGGCAGCTTTCCGTAGTAGTTTTGCGTCTGCGGCGACAGCTGCGGCCCCGAGTGACCCGAAACGCTCCCTCCTGGCCCCGTGCCCCCGCCGGCATTGTTGGTGCACCGCTCGACAACCGCCTGTAGAGAGAGGGAGTTGATGTAGATGCGTACGTATTCGTATTCGATAGTGAGGACGTGCCTGATGTACGGGGGTAGCCGGAACCGCTCGAACTGGTTCCACCACTCCTTTAGCATGGGCTGGAAGTCTGCGAGCAATTCGGTGTATTTCCCGGTCTGGATGATTTCTGTTGTGTGTTTTCGGGACCTGAACAACTTCTCGTTGCCGACTTGCATGGCGTTGCTGATTCCCACCCAACAGTGTATGATCTGGTCGTCTAGCTCCAAGTCTGGTATGTAGTTGAATGTGTTTGACAATGAAGACGGGTTAGTCCCGGGGGTGGTGCCCTCGACCGAATGCCGCTTTCTCCGCGAGACGGCCGGATCCGACTTCCGCAACCGCTCAGGTACCATGTTGGTCCAGCCAAGGCGACCGGCGAGTTGACTTAGGTAGATGAGAAGCAGCCTTTTAATGCGGTTTGCCCTCAGGCGGTACGACTCATCTTCGTACTCGGGCCGCGTAATAGCACCGGCAGCCAGCAGCTCGTCAACATCATCAAAAACACCGAGCTCATAAGCCAGCCCCATGCCCGTGCTCAACAGCATCCAGCACATGCGATCGCTCCTCCAGGCAGGCTCCAGCCAGCTCTCGATCCTTCGGCCGCCAAACCCCGAGGACTTTTGGTTGCCATTGATATCGCCAGGGCTAGGGGGGTCGTAGGACGGCAGCATCAACTCGTCGGTGGCTTCGTTCGGTGGGAAGTGGAGCGCCCGCGGGTGCCATTCGGTCAGGATCATCAGGGACTCGATAGTTCCGAGAGTCCTCAAGCTACCTCTGCGCAGACCCCTCCAGGGGGCTGTGCTGGAGCTCTGAGCATCATCGGCTCCTGAGCCGCAGAAGCCGCCGCCAAACGCTTCCTGGCCCCACACGACACGCTCAATCATACCCCTAAGGTACATCCATAGCTGTTCATGGATGGCATGTGAACGGCAGTGCCCTCCGGTGCCAGGCATGCGACGGTATCTCGAGGCGATCGTTAAGAGTGTGACGGTAAGGATCGGCTCCTCGGTCAGGAGCGTTAGGTGGGAGGCCGGATTGTTGAACGTCGGGGGCGAGATGGGGGTGAGGGGGGACAAATATTTGTAATAACTATGCGCGTTAGTCTGATAACGCAACCACCAGAGATTATCCAGAATATAGACAGCAGCTTACTAGTCGATGTAGTCAATTGCTTCCTGGGCGGTGAACCAGCCAGCGCGTACGAAGCGGAATCGACCCCAGGCCTTAATCGCCTCATTGTAGCCAGGCTCAGTAGACGGATCCCGCTTCGTCAACTCCGGGTCGATAGCTTGCTCCGTAGCCGGACCATCTTGACGTGATACATGTCGGCTGTGGTAGCCCCCTGACCCGATGTTGTTGGCTGATCTGGGCGGCTCGGCGTCGTGACGAGTGTGATGAGGGCCTGGTTGGGTAGCACTATGGGGCGGCGCCGGGTTGTCGGGCTTGTGTGAGGCACTAATTGCATTAAAGAACGTGTTGGTATCACCACATACTTCGTAGCAATATGTTCGTATAGAGATGTACTCACTTGTCGGTAGCTGCCTTGTAGAGCAAGTCCAGCGCATCGTGGGGTCCATAAACCTCCCTCCGCATGACGGTCCGAGCCTCGAAGTTCTCCAGCGGCGTATTAGGCTCGCCATTTCCAAATTCGCCGGCCGTGCTGTTACTGCGTGCGCTCTTGGAGGCGTCACCCGGCCGCCTCAGAGGCTGCGCCCGCCCGTGACTTCCTCCCGGCGTGAGGGGTACGTCGCTGTACAACCGACGGTCCAGCACGGGTGGTGGCGATGCCGCGGTGCGCAATTGTTTGCGGCCATTGCGAAGGATGTAATCGTCCTGCTCTTCGGATTCCTCTCGGGGCTCTTCATCAATCTTGCGCTTTCGGCGCGTAGCACTGAAATAGCATTCTTTGCTCTCGCGACGGCAGCGGACACAGGGAGGGTCGTGCGGGTCGTCGACGGAGCCAAGATCGCAGCGCACTTTACGGCGGCGACAGGGGATGCAGGCCTGGTAGACGCGCTTATGCTGGGCCTGCTGGAGTTGCTGGGCGGCGGACTGCGATGAGGGCGTCTCGTCGGAGTGACCGGTCCCGGGTCCGGCTCCGGGTCCGGCTCCACCGCCCCTCACGGAAGATGGATGGGGACGGGCGGGGCCCGCAGACGATGTCGACGAGGCGGCAACGGGGGAGATTGGCGACACGGAGGAAAGTTGTAAGGCTGGCGCGCCGTACTGTGACATGGCGGGCAGTCCAAAAAAAAAAAGACAGCCGGGCCGAATGGGCGCAAAACGTCGCTTGCTCAAACGTTAAACAGGCCCCGATCTGCGAGCATGAGCTTGGGCTTGCTTTATCGGCTGGAAGCGGTTTGCGGTGGGTGAAGACTCGAGAAACTGGGGAACGGGCCAGTTTTTGGGGCTAGTTGAGGGGTCTTGGCCCCCGAGATCGAGTCCCGGGATGACGCTTCTCGCTCCTGCTGCTGAGTGGGGCGAATGCGCACCAGCGACCCCGAGGGGCTTGGTGCATCTCACACAGCCTATCAGCAGTTCCTGTTGGTTAAGACGGCAACCCAGTTCCCCAATCTCGAAGGTCCCGAACAATCCAGTGGATTCCCTTAGCTCATACTTCAATTGCCTGTTCCCTGTCCCCAGCTACTCTCGAATATCTTTTGATCTCAATATGGAAGGTGTGCCAACGGCTTGAGATCCATGCTCAGTACGATACGGTCGTAATCAAGGCCCTGAATAACTTTGTACATAGATACACTCTAAGAATAAAGGGTGGAATGGTGGCCACCCGGCCATTGTTCCCCAATGCCCGAGGTTTAAGGAGTTATCGGGGACGACTCGGGATGGAGATGTCTCACTATTTTTCTGGGGGAACAAACAATGGGACGAACAACAAGAAGTGCACAATCAGCTGGCCCGAGCATAGCCCCTGGCGAATCGTGGATCGAATTGCAGCCTGCGGGGAAATGATAAGACGAGACAATTTTCCACCCCGCCTGACATGGAAGTCAATTCTGCAAATCAAACAAAGCCGTTACAACCTAATCTGGATCCAGACAGACATCGAATTCCCTGCGAATTGCTCTCGTAACTGATCCCACCTCGCTCGAATCATTCCTCTTCTTTTCGCACAAAGCCAAGGCAGCACATACATACAAAATACACCGATGGAGGAGAGAGAAACGTGCATAGCCGGGGTTTCGCCAATTACGTCGGGAGGCAACCGGGGTCACGTTGACCAGGTCACGCGGGGCACTGGCTCCATTCCTACGCCTCGCCCGGTGAGCACAAACGTCAGATACAGGATCTCCTTGGAAGAGAGCGGTGAGATTTTTAGCATCCCAAACCCATCTTCTGACCACGCCGCCCAGTGTCTGGACCCGTAGCCCGTGGACAGTGCTGCGTAACCCTGCCCAGTCGCATCGCATTACTTGAGGCACGTCAACGTGGTTGATGGCACATAGGTACTACGTACACCATGTATTGTACATAGAGAAAGCTATATTGGTACCGTACCCTGTCATGTCAGGGACCGACCGACGGCAGTCAGCATGCTACCGACCGGGATCGGTCCGTCGCTGCATACAGCCTACCTACTTGACCTGTTATCGGAACAAACACGGCGTCCCGACGATACCTTCGCTTGCTCTTGTCGCCTCACGTAAATTCCAGGTTGCTGGGTCGTGGATTCCGAACGGCAAGGTGATGTGGCTACCATCGTGGCATTGCCGTCCCAAAAAAAAAAAAAAAAAAAAGGTCCCACCAACGCACGCAGCCGAGAACACAACATCAGGTTAATTCTCCGGGTTGCACAGCAGGAAACTGCGAGCCCAGCATTCATGTAAACGGCACGAATAGAATCAAAGTTAACCCTGCCCATGCATTAAACAGACCTAGGAGTATAACCCTAGCCAATATCTCCGGAAAGAGGAGAAAGAATCTCCCTTCCCGGTCCAGCCAACTGGGTGGTTAAAACTCAATGATGACCCATTCCATGACTCCCGGCAATACCAACCCAGAGCCCCGTCATATGAGCAGGGCTAAGAGGGATAAAACCATCGGCTGACTGCCGACCGACACCCAGAGCGAGATGACGGGGTCCGTCCAACCAACCAATGCTTTTCCGCAACCTTTCCCAACCCCCAGACTCCAGACGCCGTTGAATGCAGAGTGTAAGGGCCGGTTCGCTTAAACAACGACAACGCCCTGCTTAACCTACACGTCAAATCTCACCGTCAGCATCGGACTCGGGGGAACAAGTGCACCAAACAAAAGAGAGAACGTACCAGCAAGTCCCAGAGCATCTTGAGAAGGGGATCCGGGAGGGTATATAGGTCGACCGAGAATTCGCCAGCGTCAATGTTGTTCTGGACGTAGGTGCTGTCATCCTTGTGATCGTGGATCAGCTGGATCACCTGAAGGAGATCATCCTCGCCCAACTTGATCAGACCGTCCGCCATCTTCTCAACGTCGAACGTCTTCTTCTTCTTGCCGCCGTCGGCCTTCTTGATTTTGCGTTCCTCGTCCGAAGGCAGCGGGCCCGTCTCACGGAGGATCTGCTGGAGGGCCTGCGAAGGGTTCCGGAAGGTCACAACGTGCACGTTGTCGTACTGAGCCGCAGCAAAGTTAAGGTCGTGGATGACCGTCTGCTTCCCACCCTTCTCGGTGGTGAACAGATCAATGCTCATTTCGAATTCTCCCCAGCCCTCGTTGGTGCACTTGAAAGGGGGTTCCATGAAGGCTGTACCCATGTCAGCGCTGCATCTTCGTCCCAACTCGGATGGGATACATACTCTGGACGGGGTTGGCAAACGAAGGGTGCAAGTGATACACCGCCTTGGTGAAGCAACGGGCGGGCTTCTCTTTGCCATCCTGGTCGAGAATATAGACCTCGACGGTCCACTCCTTCATGGGGAAGCCTTCATTGACGGCAGGCTTGTTACTATTGGGCCTGGTCAGCCACCCATCCTCGATGCTCCCACCTCCCGTCTCCCTTTCCGTACGCCGGCGGTCGGGTCGGTCGCTTACATGTTGTGCTGTTCGGTGACAACTTTGATCTTACGCTGCAATCATCGGATCGCGTCAGCCATCCGATCTCGCTTTCCTCCCAACCTCACGCGATAAAACATACCTCGACAATCATCTTGGAGACTGCGGCCTTCTTGCCCTTGCGCGGAGTAGTAGTAGCGGCGCGGGGCCTAGCAGTAGTAACAACGGTCGTAGGCCGGACACTAGGAGTGCCAACGACGATGTTCGGCTCGTCTTGCTCTGCTTGACGTTAGAGGCTTGGCCACACTCCTTCTCTTAAACGGAAGATAAAGCTGCGATTTTCTCCCAAAACGCGCGCTTGACAAGGCAACCAAGTAAATCCCGTCAGCCGTCTTGTCAGTCGCAACCACCGAGGATCTGGTCGCCGTCGTGTTTGGACCCTAAACTGCGGAAAAAAATCGGATCGCGAGAGGAGACAAAAGAGGGATTTGAAAGCAAAATGTAATAAAGGATGAATATGCGATTGGGCCACGTGGGTCTGGTGGTTTGGGGAGGGAAGTGAAGCTGGCGATTCTGGGGTTTACAGTCGGGTGCATTGGAGCAAGCCAGCTGCGGGTCGTGACGGCGTCTGCCCGCTTGATTGCAGATGGTACGTACCTGAAGGTGGCGTAAGCAGCGCCGCCGAAGCGCTGCGGGTCATTCGATCAGAGCTCATGATAGGTAGTGGCGGTGCAAATGGTCCGTGCGGTGGTTGTGCTGCTTGTTGAAAAGGGAGTGAGTGCGAAGATACTGTGTGAAGAATATTTCACACGGATTGTGGGAGTTTGTGGGTGAGTTTGAGGATTGAGCAAGAACCTCTGAACAGAAAGTCAGGGCAATAGGTAGGAAACAGGTAAGAACTGGCTCCGTGATCAGAAAAAAGATCAAAGGTGTGGGAAGCACAGGCCAACCATCTTTTCGTTGTGGTCTATGTTATTGTTTTCTTCCTTCCATTTAGCGGCACATCACAGAGAACTGGTTATTGTTACAAAGCCAACCAAATGACTAGTGGCATGGGCCCAGTGAGCTCAGGTGGAGACAAGGGGACTGAATGGTATTTGGTCTATCTACAGCTATCATGGCTGGTCTTTCCCTCGCTCAAACAATCACCCTCTCCTAGGTACTCTGTCCGGATGGGTAATGTGTCATGAGGATGTTGGATTGTGTTCGTGTGTGATCAACATCAACCTTGGCCTCCTTGGGGAGACAATGATGTGTGACGTGCGAGGGGGAAGTGGGGTGAGTGGTGGGAGGGAGGTGTGAGAGGGTTGGTGGTTATTCCTTCCTGAGCTCATCGCTCTCCATCAACATCAACAAGACCGGCTACCTCCTTATGCAGTCTCCTCCTCCTCCTTCTCCTCCTTCTTTTCCTCCTCCTTCGTCTCCTCCTCTTTCTTCTCCTCGTCAGCCTCTGCCTCCGGCTTCTTGAAAAGCGTCTCGTTCTCCTTCTGGGCCTTGATGAAGGCGTCCTTGAACTGGTTGGCGTTGTCCGAGTTGGCGAACCGGATTGCCAGGGTGAGAGCCTCAGGCTCGCCCTCGCTCACATCGGCAACGACGTTCCACACCCAACTCCGGTCGGAGCCCACGTTGGGGGAGAGCTTCATCTCGGGGACGACTGGAACGAATTAACATCCGATGTCCTAAGGTGTAGCACACATAGGAAAAACAAAATACACGTACCGTAGTGGTTGGCGCAAACCTTGAGGGTCTTGTCACGGCGCATGACCAGGCGAGTCTTGCCGTTCTCGCGATGCTTGAGCAGACGCACATCGCCGGTGCCGCGCTCCTTCCACTCGCGGGTGTCGGGCACATATTTGAAGAGCTTGGCGCGCATCTTGAAAACCTGCTCCTCCATCTCCTCGTTGGTTTTGATCTCAACCTTCTCCGTGAGGTGGATGACGGGCTCGAAGTGAACATCCTCGGACTCGGGGGCCTCCTCCTACATTTCCGGGGATTCCGTTAGCCTCTCCTTATATACGAATATCTCCCCATCAGAATTTTGGAGAACCAACCTCATCGCCACCCTCCTTGGAAGCGGCGGCGGCAGCAGCAGCAGCAGCCTCGCGCTGAGCCTTGGCGCTGCCAGAGTTATCACCACGGTCCTCATCGTCGTCCTTCCTTTCCTTCTTGGCGCCACCACCAAACATAGAGAAGACGGAAGACGAGGTAACGGGCTTCGTTTCGGCAGCAGTAGCCTGTACAAGGGTCAAAACACCATTGTTAGCCAAAACACAACCCTCAGAGCCATTTCAACCACACCCTTAGCGGACCCCAGCCCGTGGCCGCTTCTCTGCACATACCTCCTGTGTCTCGGGCGCCTTCACCTCCTCAACCGCCTTGTTATCGTTCTCGGCAGACATGTCGGGCAGTTGGTTGTCAATTCTTTCTCGACGGGATGGTAGTAGTAAAAACTATTCCCCGCATACAAAACGCGTTAGCAAAGTCTGTCCAAAACAAAAAGGGCAAGAAAAAAGGAATCCCCATCTCCAACCCCCCATCTCTCATCCCGCATCCCGCATCCCACATCTCCCACCCATCCCCTCCCACAATCACAGCACCTCGCCAAACCCGCTCATCGCAGTCGCATAACCCCGCCCCCGCCATGGCGTTGTGCCCCGGCTCGCTCGCCGCGTCCTGACAGGGTTGATTCTCCCCAAAAAAGCCGGACGCCAGGCGGGGTACTTTTTTCGGTTCGCAGCGGCCAGCCAGCAGAGCGCGGGGCACGCAAAGCCAACAACGCTAAGCGCATCGACCCCAGGTGAGCGAGTTTAAAAAGGCAGGATAGAAAAACAAACAAAAAAAACGTACCAGATGCTGCAGATATCTGTAAAGTAGTGGAAGGGCACAATGCGAAATGTAGTGTGCCTTGCAGTGGTGTCGGGAGACGTCTGGAGGTCGGGAAGTGGATAAGGCAAGGTTGCAGGCAAGCAGCGGGTGGGTGGTTGTGTGGTGTTGTTGCAAAAGACTGCCCCTCACTTCCCTAAAATCAACAGCAGGGGCTGCGGCCCAAAAGAAATTTGGCTCGGGCATGTGGATCAAGGTGGGTCCAGTAGCCATCATCTCAGGTGTTGATTGGATGACATATGCACTCTTTATAAGCATATTCATTTTGTTCGGGCAAGCAGGGTCACAAATGGCACGTGAATGAGTAATTCAATAACTGCGGGACCTACGGTATTGAGGCACTTCAACTCGCACTCACAGTCAATTTCATTGTAAACACCATCGTATTATGGTTCTATTCTTGTCACTCTGCCTCCCGTCCCCCAGATTCATTTCACCAACCCAAAGCCACCAGTTGATACGAATAAATACAGCAGTTGTTGTGCGGGACATAGAAGAGTTGAAGCGAAAGATAGTTCCATTCCATAACACCGCGTCCGGTCGGGAAAGCAAAACTCCATATTTCTCCAGCCCTGATCCTCGGGCGGCCATTGTAGGCAGGTATTCCATCCCCCAACCCCGTGTACCGTCCGTCAAACCCGCCCCGCCCACCCAAAAATAAGGAAAAGAATGCTAGAGGAGAGAGAGATTAAGGGTTATAATCCTTGCACGATCTTCCTCCATGTGTTTTCCCAGCCGCCGTCTTGCGAAGCCGAGTCTGTGTTGCCCTCGTCGCGCCGGGCGCTGTCCTTCTTCCAGGGCGAGTACAATGCGCTTCGGAGGCCGTAGAATGACCTAGACTGGTTCGGCGTGTTCTTAGTCTTTGCCGCCTGGAGCTCCAGATGTTTCGCGTTGAGGAACCGAGATGCGTTCCGTTTATATTCGGCATATTCTTCCGTCTTCCCTTGCATCCTCAACCACCAAAGTCTAGAAGCAATCTGCGCTTGGAGGACAGAGAGATCGGCTTCCTTACGGATCGATTCAACTGACTCGATCTGGCGAGCCACGCGTTCCCGGGCATTGCTCGCAGCCCGCTTGACCGCGCACGTACGATTCTGAACGGCTTTCGAAGCATGCTCGAGGGCAGAGGCGACATGGCCGGGGAAATCGCGAGACCGCTTGCAGGCGTTGTCGAAGATGATCTGGCTTGCGTCGCCGGCCCAAGTCACCTTCTCAGCAACGCCTTGCAACAAGTTCAGCCCGGCCTCGATAGTCTCGGCGAGTTCAGCAAGCGCCGACTTGCCAAAATCAATCTCGAACGTTTCGTTAATCCTGGGCCGACGGGTTGTGACCACAGTAATGTTCACTAGACCGTAAGCATCTCTCCGCTCGAGCTCAACAAGTACCCCCTCATCTACGGAAGAGATCTTGGTCTTGATAGGGTTGTCATTTCGGCGAACGGTGATGTCAATGGATCCCGCCGCGAGCCATACTGCTTTGTTTCGGCTTGGGACGCCCACCAAAATCTCGGTCAAGCTGTGGACGCGTACTGAGCAAGCCGTCTTGTTCGAGTTGCTGGGCTTTTTGTCTTTTGTCTCGATGTCGGCGGGGACAACCGATGGTTTGTCAGAGAGGAATCCGGCCAAGGACAGCGCAGAAGCGAAAGTACTAGTAGGCTGCTGCGTCTGTATCGCCTGGACGGTTTTGGTGGAGGTGACATTGATCACAACGGTTTTGGTCGATGTCGCCACAGATGAACTACCAGTCGTGAAGGCGGGAGATATCTGCGAGGAAACACAAACCCCAGTGTAAGACGATGGTTGCGTTTGGTAGAGGCCTGTTGGCCATAGCCAGTCGACCATGGAAAGAACGAAGAATGGGCCCATCAACAACATGGCCACCGGCAGAAGGGAGCGGAGCCGCCGCCCGAATTCCTCCCGCGCAACAGACGGTCGCCCCTTTCCACCTTTCGTCATCTCCGACTTTGGTACTTCTTTGGTCCGCGCGCTATCCCGGTCAAGCTTGTCTTCAGTCTTTGACAAACCAGTCAAGTAGGCTAGGTTGCGGTTCATCTGCCGAGCATCGATGTCGGCAAACGACTGGTAATCAATCGGAAAGCGTAGAGGAGCCGTTAGCCTTTCGGGGTCCCGGGATTCTAAGCAGAGATGGACCGAGTGTTCGCTGATGTACTTTCCCAAATCGGGATTGCGGAAATCTTGTTTGTCGGCGATTAATATGGTTGGGACACCATGGCGTTCCATGAACGACCAGGCAGCATGTCTCGTCCCACTGCTCTCGACGTCATCATAAATCGAGCAGTAAAATACCGCGACGTGAGGTAGATCCCATTCCGGCGCAACGGTGGGGCCAGCCGGGAGAACCAAGGACCGGTAATCCTTTTCTTGTTCAATGGTGATGGAATAGCCGACTTCGCCGGTAGGCGGGAGTGCCGGGCTGACGAACACCTCTGCAGAGGTGCAATGCTCTACCTTGATCTGATACAGGGACGCTTCCATCAGGTCGAGTTCTGGGGAGGGCCCGAAGGATGAGATGGGTATAATGTTATAGACACCATCGCGGTGACGACCGAGGTAGTCTTGGGTACTCGACTGCGGTGATTCCCAGATGGCACTGCAGATCTTGAGCACAATGGCCCTTTGGGCTTCCGGGGGGCCCACGTAAAGAACTCTCAGAGGTTCCTTGGTGGAGAGATATGATTGTGACATGGTCTGGCGAATCGACGCAACCCAGCGCTTTGGGGCGTTCGGCAAACCCAGACGTTCCGCGATGGTGGATGAGTCTTCCTCGTCGAGCTCCACGACGGCATGTTTGGCAAAGACGTTCTCCTCGAGGGCCGTGTCACCAACATCTGATTCCTGGAATTGGATCGACCGAACGACGACGCCAGAACCCTCAGTAGACGACCCATGTTCAAGGCGGCTATTTGGAAGTTGAGTCGAGGGGTTTTGTAGAGCTTGGTCGGCGTATCTAATAGAAGATGCGCGAGAAGGGTGATCAGACTCGTCGTCTGAGTCGGTATTGTAAGGCCCCACTGATGACCCGTCTAGGCTGTGCACATCATCTGGTCGTGAGGCAGTGAAGGAGCAAGTCGACTCGGTCAGGCGGTCGTCTTGACTCTCGTTATCGGTTCCGTTGACAATTTCGTAGGCCGAATCGGCCAGGCTACCGTTATCCGACATCATGGATGGTTGTCGGATATCAGGATCGCTGCTGGAAACCCAGTTGGCGAGGAGTTGGCTCCCTTGTGGTCGAGGGAATCGAAGGGCTGGGACAGAGACGGAAATTTGCTCCGGCGCAGGAAGAGAAGTGTCGTAGCTTTGGGTGTTGCTTTTGGGTGGTTCTGAAGGTGAAGGAGCCTCTGTGGTCTGCGGTTCCATTACGATAAGAAATCGTCAGCCGACTGAGGTCATGCTATGGATTTCCAACAAGTATGGAAATGCAGATGGACAAGATTGAATGTTGTGGGTGTTTGTGTGCGTGTGGTACTGGTCGAGCCACGAAGAGGAAGGAGGGGCATCCGACGTGGAAGGCGAGGGGTCCTTGCTGATTGTGACTGGGAGAAGGAGCCGACGAAACCGAGGGAGTAAAGGTGACTGGTGAATGCGGGGCTGAGTGCGGACAATGAAAATGAAGAGAACTAACTGTGAGAGTTCTAGAGCCCCTCCGATATTCCGTTGGGTATTTGTTTGAATCCAGGTCGGTTGAGTGGTTGTGGTTCCTGGTTTGGGGTTTCTGCCCGTCCAGCTGGCGAAGCTGCCTTAGACAGGCGGGGGTGGGGACTGTTGCATGGAAGCGCAAGCCGAGTCAGCTTGTGGGCGAGAGGGCTTCGAAGCCTGTCGTCAGCTGCGGGAAAAGGCACAAGGCAGTCGGATCAAAGGGAAAACTAGTTGTTTGGGCTTCGATGGTTTGCGCCTCGTTGGATGGATGCGGTTGATAAGACGACTCGGATGCTGGAGTTGGCAATGTCCAGTTCTGAGGCGATTTGGGGATGCAGAGGGAAAGAGGATTTGAGATACCGAAGCGCGGGTAAGATGCAACGGTGAGAGTAATGGACTGGGCCCCCACTGGAGCTTTTGGCTTGGAATGAGGTCACCTGCTGTTTGTTCTGCAGCCAGGCTGAAGTTGTGGTCTTTGCCGTTGGTGCTTCGGATTCCCCTCGTTGGAGTGTTAGTGATAAGAAAGCGGGGCAGAGCGATGAGTGGTGACGACGTGCAGGGAACATTGTGGAGAATTCAATGGGTCTGGACGCCTCGTACAGATCTATACATAAATACACAGTACAACCCCACCAACACCAACGGCCGACGTGAAACGCCGACGGGGATTACGTATTATGTGGTGTGTAGACATTCAGTCAGTGCAGGCAATGCAGACCAGCTTTGATCATAAAATACGACAACCTGTCACCGCGTACGTATCAATTGTTCAAACATTCAACGATGGTTAATCATGGCTGGCTGCGGGAAGGGGCGGACTGTCCAATATGACGCATGTTCACCGATCGTGTTGGTAGGTATCCTTCATATGAAACCCCGTACGGTAAGGTTGGTTGCGCTCCTGCAAACCCCAGTCGAACCCCATAGACGCAACTTCATGACGATATACACTAGCAGGTACACTGGTGGCAAGCCAAACCAACGTATGGTCTGTCTCGCGGGAGATGCAAAAGGGGGCAACCATAACTCTAGCCAAAATTACAAATATTAGATGCAAGAAAACAACCAAAACCGCATCGTCTATCTAGCCGGCCTATCAAACGATATAAACCCCAGAACCCAGACAAATTCGCATGCGTGTGTGGTATCTCTGCATATGTAGGTCGTATCCCTGCCTCCCGGGCTATCATGCGAGATCAATGTAAGAGGGGTATTTCCATGGCCATGTCAAATCAACAGAGCTCCAAAGATATAGCGAACACCTAGGTCAGGCATTCAAAACGCAACCACATCGGTCATCCGCCTCGAGGTCGTAAAAACTACCGAACAAAAAGATTCAAAGAACCCCGGTCAAAGAGCCGTTACAGGATACCCTCCTTGACGAAGAGCTTTTTGAGGGAGTCTGTGTCAAAATCGGTATCGTCGGGGATCATCTCCAGAATACCGGTTAGGTTGGCGAATAGATCGCCTTGGTTTCGGTATGCAAGAATCGCTGGTACGCCGGCATTGTCGAACTCGACATCCTCGTAATGCACTTTAACAAAGTGGACGGCGCGGTAGGTGCTGACTAGAGGGACGAGCGCAGACTCGATGGCTGCGGATACGTCGCACTGATTTACGGGTTAGTGCATGGGATGCTAGGAAGCGTCTGCGCAGTAGGGTCACCCACCTCGTGGTCGTAAACAAACACGACGACTACGGTCTCCCTCCCGACCTTCTCTATCGCGTCGAGGTAGCCGAGTGCATCGACATGGTCGAACCGTCCATAGAGCCTGATGCTCGGGCTTGTCCTCCGATTCCGGACGGGGTTTCTGCTTTCCGCTTCGAGCTCACGCCTCCGGCTCTCGCGCCATTGTTCAAGAAAAGCGGCCTCGTTGGGGTCCTCGGCGCCGCTGCCGTCGCTATCTGGCTCGCTGCTCCGAGTTTGGCGGCCGCTGTCCAGGCCGAACACGCTGCGGCGGGCGGCCCGCGCTCTCTCCTTCCATTTCGACTGTCGGGCAGTCTCGTACGACCTGGCGTCAGCAATGACGCCCTTCACGCCGGTGGAGCGACCTCTGTCAAATTCGGCTGGGGGCAGCCTGATCTCTGATTGTGAATCCCTGGTGGGCATCCGCATGGCGGCGTCGATCTGTGATTCCCGGTAGCGGTCTTCCTCGTCCTCGCTTCGTTCGTCGTCAGACTCTCTAGCAGCGTCGCGGTCCTCGGGGTGAATTCCGTCAAGATCGGAGCGGTTATTCTTGTCGAGAAAGGCAGCAAACTCCTCTTGGGCCGGCGTAGGATTCGACATGATGACAGAAGGGGCGCAAGGGCCAGCGACAGGGTGGGTGGTATTGATTTATAGAACGAAAGGTGCCTTGTTTCGAGGGCAAGACAGGGAAGGGAGTGGTAACAGGGTAAAGTCCTGGTTGAGCGGAGTACGGCGAGCCCGGATGATAGGTCCCTACCTAGGTAGGGTCGTGTGGGATGGATGTTCAACCAAGCACAGCACACGGACGCGGGGCGGCAACTGTTGGACTTAGCCGAAGGGCGACAGGGGTACCGAAGTTGCCTCGTGTGATGGAAAGGTTGTACTGTGGTATTGTGCTCTCCCAGCGTACTCTCTCGGGGTCGTGCGCGGAACCGAAAAAATGGGATGACTGGGTCTGGGCCTCAGAGAAGCCTGGCGGGAGCTCTCGGGAGCGCAGTAACGGCTGGGAGACACCAGATGGAGCACGCGGGAGGACTCGATCCCCTGGGGAATGCGTCAGACTGTTTCAGAACAAACGATGCCGAATGCGACGTCGAGAGTCCACGTGGAGGCGGAAGCCGGGGGACTAAGAATGGAGAGGTTGATGATTGGCCGAGGGGGAGCGTTGAGGTGTGAAAAAAAAGATCGACCGCATAGGAGACACCAAATGGAGCACTATGCAGAGGGATGAGGGCGAAAGGGCTCTGTTCCTGGCGGCTGAGGAGGGCGTGAGCAGGGACGTGGAAACCTTGAAGTGGGATCGGCAGGAAGAAAGCGAGGAAGAGGGGCGTCAGGTGTTGGTGTGCTGCATGCCCAGACTGTCCCTCGCGTGGTTGACAGGGATTAGCCAATTCGAATCACATTTGACGCTTCGAAGTTCGAGTATGACAGGCGGCCTAATGGAAGGGGTCGTTAAACTCGGCAGGACTTTCAGGGCGGCTACAAAACTTTGCTGTGGTCGAGGGTGGAAGGAACGACGCTTACTGTGCAGACGCCTCAAAGAAATGAATGCTTCCTCCAAAGGATTTCATCAACGGCACAGATATACCTGGAAGTTGCGGCCCTGAGGTTGTGGACGTGGGGCTGAGAGGGGCACAAGAACCCAAAAGGCAATGGCGCTAAACTTGGCCCACAAACAGGGCTCTTTCAGGTCCTGGGCTGGGCTGACTTTAGTTCTTCCTTGATCGTTCTGTTTGAACCCGAGGATGGTTCGACACGATAAAAGACCCATGCGTTGCGAAAAGTTGTTTTGCGCCATCCACCCAAGTTCCAGACTCTCGAGACCTACATAACTAGCATCTCACTGGGGCAAAGGAATGTGGAGGTGACAAGCGTAACAACAATGGACGGATTCGGATCGAATTGGTGCATTGTGCCTTCTTGGGAGACCCCAGCATCCATGGGACACAGAAACCAAGCAGAGGCATGATCGAATTCGATATACTGCGGCGGTGAGGCCGAGATCTGTCGTGCCATCCGACGAGCCCAGCAAGGATTTTGATTGATGCTTCGAGGAGACCCCAAGGGCCCGGTTCACCATTCTTACCCGACCTCAATCTCGCCGACTCCCCGTCTATCTTACCGCCCTCGCCGTCCGCGTGGCACCCAGTTAATCTACATGACGCCACCAGCACAACCAATTGCCAAATGTTCTGCCTGGCGATTCGATCAACCGTGTCCCCCTGTAAGCAACAGGAATCTTACTCAAGAAAGTCAGCTTTCGGCATTGACACAGCAAAATCACCGTATGCCCGAGGGGTTGACACAAGCACACGCACTTCGCAAGACGATGGCAAAATGTTAGGCAAGGCGGGATCACCACCACTTGTTACATGCCGTGTTTCATCCACTCCCCTAACTCGCCAAGCACTTTTGTTTCACCCAAAAAGCTTGGCATTTAATGCAGCGCCCTCGCGTTCTCATGAACCCCTGAAATGGCACCCTCATGTACGTGTAAAGACAAGTTAGCAGCTGGCGATCTTGACAATGCACACAACCCGTCACGACCCATGTCGATGATGGAGTTAATTATGGAGCTACCTAGTGAGTGTTCTTGCACATGCTCCAATGGGGGATAGCCGAGCCGAATGGCCACAAGAAAACGACGGCAGCCGCAGAGTCTGGCCATCACACGGATCAACATGGATGATGCCGTTTCTTTCGTCTTCTGGCCAGAGTTCCTTACTCGTTAGCCTTATCTTTCAGCTGCACATTGTCGACGCTCGGATCCCTCGTCGTCATCGCCTTCAAGAGTACGAACTCTGGATGGCTCGTCCCAAACTGTCGGTGGCTGAGTGGCAAGAATCGATGATGATTTATCAGGAGAGGCGCATCGGATCGTACGGCCTTCTACGTCATCATCTAGCCCTTTGTCGACCTCTCGTGAGGATGGATACCGGACGGTCCACACAACCGGAGGTCTCCTCGCTCTCGCTAAGCCCCGCACGTAATTCGGCGTAACTACGGTTTAGTGGTGTTGAACAGGAGCTCAGCCAGAGTGACAAACAGACCGTTGGTTATGAGAACATGAGGTAAGCCTAGAGCAATGGTATCACCCTGAACAGCGGGTATCTAGCAAGAAGACTTCTGTTTTATGTAATTGTGCCGGATGGCAACCCGTTTTGAGCCAGCTGTGTCCTCACGGCTCGCCCCCCTGAACCGCTTGTCTTACCCCTTCCTCCCAGATAGAGCGCCTCCGGAATATGATACTCTCTTTTGTACATTAACAGCATCGTTCGTGTTTTGGTATCATTCCATCGCCCATTGCTGCTAAATTTTCCGCAGGGTTGAAATAATGTCTTCAAATCACGGTACAAAGACGAGCACCACTTCTGCCAGACAACATCTTGCCTACCCAAGTGTGAACTTCTGAAGAAGCGAGCATTCCTTTCAAAAGAAACTGGACCTGCGTAACACGGGGCCAAGCCCCAAACAGCGCCGCCGCCCTTAACCCCTATTCACCCACCTCACAGTGCCTACCAACCCTTGATACTCCCCTTACGACACACTCCACCCAGCATCCTGGCTCCTATCCCGCCAACCCACCGAGACTATCATGCCTGATCACCAAAGTAAAATTCGAGGGAACGTAAATTACTAGACCTATATTTTGCATTGCCCAGGCCCCTCGTTCAGCACGTATATCAACATACAAATAAGGGATTGAACACACACATTGAGAAAAGCGAAATATAGCCGTTTGATAGAAAGATGAGGGAACCGACGGGTAAAGACACTCCGCTAGGCGAAGCAGGAGATCAATTCGAGGCGATGATCTTGGCCGGGCACGATTAACTCGCTGACTGGTGAAGTGACAGACCCCAGGATATGTCTCCTTGAGTTCTTGATGACGGAGTCATAGCTGGGGTGTATACGCAAGTGTCTCAATGCTGGACACTGCACTGATGCGAGGGAATCCCTTGAAGGCCCGACATGACGGAGTACGTGGTAGGTAGAGAAGTACCATGAGACGATTTATGATGAGCTCGATCATAATTTAGATAGATGGAAAAAAAAAAGAACTTGATATTTCCCGCCCCGGTCTACTCCCCAAACAGACAAAACATCAAAACATCCAGACAGAAACCCCAAGACATCAAATGCGACGTTTTTCTTGGTCTTTCCAGCCAAGCCAAGCCAAACCAAACCAACCCAGGCCGAGGTACAAAGCTGAGATTGAATAAATCCGATGCCGGGCGTCTTTTTAGATGCTGGTTAGTTGGCAGAGAGAGCAAAAACACCTCCCTCGGGCATAGGCGGAAAGGAAAGGCAAAGAGTAAGGAAGAGTTTGTAATACAGCCGCCGTCCATACGAGCCGCCGGAAATAACTATGGTGCAGAGAAAGTAGTCAGGTGTAAAAGAAACAAGATCAAAGTGCCGAGAAGAAAACGCCACGGTGGGCTGTAGATGATTGTGCCGTGCTTCCGGGAGTTGTTGTCCGGCTCGGGTCAAAAGACTGGCTGGCGCCTATCAGGGAACGGCGAGGGCTCGCGAAAACCGAGAAAGGCTGTTGTCGTGACTTCGTGTCGCGCATGCCGTGCCATAGATTAAGAGAGGCGTGTCAACAAGGCTGGATTAAGAACAGGAAAACGGGCACTCCATAGTCTTTTCGGGCGGCGCGATGGGTTGGGTATCCAGTAGTGCAGATCATGTCATCAGAGTGACGATTAATAGGCCCACACCTTAAGCTATGCGGGTGTCAGCAAGTGGAGAGAGGCACATGTTCGAGGAAGGAGACTTACCACAGCGTCCCAGGAGCCTGTGCACAAACTTATGCCGTCATTTGACACGCCTAGGCAGCTGACACGGTTCTCGTGGCCCACGAGGGAGCCGACCTTCTCTCCCCGAGTAATATCCCAGACCTTGGGTCAACAGTCAGCATCTGTTCGTTGCGCCGGAATATGCAATCGTTTTTCAGCTTACCTTGCACTCAAAATCATCGTAACCAGCAAAGAGCAGCCTCCCGGACACGGAGGTAGCGACCGAGGTAATGCCGCAGAGAATGGTCTCCGACTAAAGACGTCCACGACGTTAGCACGAGGGCAGCAAGGCAGATTGGATCAGTCACTTACCCCGTAGAAGTTCAACTCCCGATCCGCACGGATGTCGAACAGCCGGCAGGTCGCATCGTCGGATCCTGTTACGAACGAGTGGCCGTCGGGGAAGAATTGGATGGCGTTAATGTCGGACTCATGGCCGGCAAAGGTCTGCACGGCCTTACCGGCGCGGATATCCCAGAGCTTGGCGAAGGCATCGCAGGCCCCGGAGATAAATGTGTTTTGGTTAGTCGGGTTGAGGCTGATGCTCATGACATCGCCCAGGTGATCGGCAAACTCCATAACCTTGGTCCCGGTCTCGATATCCCACTTCATGCATGTCATATCGCCCGACGAGGTAAGGATGCTGCGGTCGTTGATGAAGCGGCAGCAAGACAGGTAGCCGGCGTGGCCCGACAGTTCCCGGGCTACCCTCGTGGGCCCATCGCGGCTCTGGTTGAGGTTGTAGATAGAGCAGATATTGTCGAGGCCACCGCACGCCACAAAGTTGCCACTCGGTGCGTAGGCGCAGGTCATGACCCACGACGACCGCAACGGAATAGCGTGGACTTTGTTTGTTGTGTACGCATCCCAAATGATGAGTTTACCGTCTTGTGATGCCGAAACGAGGTGTCTCCGGTCGGTCGACCAATGCATAGCATAAATCTTGGCCAGATGGCCCTTCAGTGTCCTCTTCGTCCTCATCAACTGGCTCTTGGGGATCGGTTCGTGGGCCTGGGCGGCGACAGCGCGGACTGGTCGACATCCAAATATGTTAGTTGCGCAATTCGACAAAAAAAGAAAAACAAACAAGACCCGTGGTTCAATCGCAATCGCACTCACGCGTCGTGTCCGCAAGCTCCTCCTTCTTCCTCTTGATCCTATCTTTCAGCGTCTCAGCCTCGCGACGTGCCTGCTGAATGCGTCCTTGCATCGCCTCCGGCGACACGTCGCTCGACCGGCCTGGATTCCATCGCGATGCTGATGTCAAATGTGCCTCTGTCAATTGAAAGGGTAGAATTGGGCAAGATTTGAGCACGGGCGGATGACGTACGGCGACAAAAGATGGTCCGAGTCGGGAATTGAGGGTTTAAAGGTTTGGGGTGGTTCGAGTTATTCAGAGTGGAAGAAATGCAAGCTCCAGGGGTGTGGGGAGTGGACCCAGTAAAAACGGGCTGGGCAGGCCCGGGACGGGTACTGCAGCGAAATGACTATCGGAGCGCGGAGTGGAGAGAGGAGAGGCGATGACCAGGATTGTTGCTTCGATGCGCGGATCGAGGGTGTGGACGGGACTTCTGTAAGAAGAGGACGGCCGAATACCCCAAGTATGTACTTCTCGAGTCAAGCGCGGCCAATTCCCGTATCTGACCGCGATATTCGATGCAGATTGTGGGTTCGGCTTGGGGGGTGGGAGAAAGGAGAAAAGAAGGAGGCGCCGAAAAGATTTGGTGCAGCGAGCGCGAATTGGTCGAAAGCTGCTCGACGAGTCGACTGGCTGCCCGGCGGACGGGAGACCGGGGCAGATTTGCGATTATTATCCTTGCGCTACCTGATTTGGGAATGGATTGGGGGGTAAACGACCAGGGGTTTGATTCAAGGTTGCAAAGCGCGTTGCAAGCTGCAGCAGAACGACAATTGGCGAACGGAGGAGACGCAACGGTTGCAGTTGGTAATGTTCGGGGAGGCTCGACGAAATACTGTGTTGCGTTGATAATCCCTTATGTACCTGCGTAGGTATGAACAATAGATATCTACCTTAGAATGAATGGAACCAACTACCTCGTAACTTTCATTATGTCGGAGGTATACTAGCATATCCTAACGACCATCTCGATCATCAGGCGGGCTCCCTGCGAACAACTGCGGAGGCATTCAAAAGCTAGTTACGGTAGTCCGTGCGGATCGAATGGATGACACCTCTTCGAGGAGGATGGATTGGAAAAGCATTGGCCAGTTGTGTACCGAGCGGGCTCGTCAGCGGGGCCAAGAAGTGTTTCCTGCACCACCCCGAGCCGGCATGGGTTTGCGCACGGAGTCCCTCCCGAGCTCCACGATTGCCAAGCTGCCTGCATTTCCATTCTCAAACCCAGAAGGCGGAGAAATCAACAAATCTTCTCTCCCTAAGTTTTCGTTCCGGTTTACCCACAGTTCCGCAACAGTGGAGGGTGCGGTGATCAACCGTTAAGCTGTCCTCTTTGGGGGGGCCACTGGGGTTGGAAGAGGATTGGTAAGAGAAGAAGCAAAAGAGCCCCAGACAATGGCAAAAAGTCCGGGACTGGCTTGCTCAGCAGCCCAGCAGCGCTTGGGCCTCGGCCGGCACCTTTCCTTCCCCAGCTGCAGCGCTGCGGCGCACACGGCGAAGCAGGCCGGGGCCGACCTTGTCGGTGAAATTGGCCTCCGTTCCACCCTCGACCCGGGTCTCACGGCACTAATCACCACTATTACCATCGACCGACTCGCTGGTCGGCCGACGAAGTCGGTGCCGGCGGCATACGGCGCAACTATCTGCTGTCCCGGTTTCGTACGACGTTGTGTTTCATGGAAGCGTCAAATGTCAATAATTCGCCGCCATCATTCGGCGCCCGTGGCGAGTGACAAGTCCACAAATGCCCACCCAGGCAGGTATGGATGTACCTTGGTAGACGCATGGATCGGATTATGGGCTGATCGAGTTCTCGATTGCTCGATTGATTGTCGCTCAAGCTTTTGTTCAGCCTCTTATCCATGTTCATCATCGAAGGGATTTCGTAATCGTCTGAGACAAAGTCTTCGCCCCAGATAACCGAAGTTGGCAGCCCGATTGGCGGTGTTCGGTTTGGGGATGCACAACAGATCGCCCTGACGGAGTTGTGGCCCATCAAAGGCGCATCGCACCCACTTCCGGTAGGGTCCGGCATCCCACCGCCGTAGGAGGACTAGTGCATACTGTGCCGGGCGTGGGATTCCAGACCTAAGACAGATACTGTGTAGATGATTCAAGAACAACAACAAGAGGACAGGATCTACCTACGGTATCCATAATGGCCAACACCAATACCGCAGTGCTTGACTACGCGGCACTCCCCAAAATCGAGGTATGTAGGTACCTAGGTAACTATGTCTCGGGCCGCAGTAGCAACACTATATTCCATACCAAACTCCCCTCCTCCGACTAACACCCGTATCCTTAATCCACACAGCTCCATGCCCACCTCAGCGGCAGCATCAGCCGACAATGCCTTCACGAGGTCTGGCTCACCAAGAAAGCCGCGGGCGAAACAGACCTGCAAGACCCCCTGATTGAGATGCCCCCAGACAAGCACGACTATGACCTCAAGACGTAGGCCCCTCCCAACCCAATCCACCACCACCCCCTGAACCAAAAGAAGTGAAAAAAAAAAAAAAAAAAAAAAAAAAAAAAAAAAAAAAAAAAAAAAAAAAAAAAGGAACAGAACAAATGCAAGTACCTTACGCTAAGCCTTCCCCAACCCCCCCCAATCAGCTTCTTCCCCCTCTTCTCCTCCTACATCTACAACCTCGTCAACAACGCCGCCACCCTGCGCTACACCACCCTCGCCGTGCTGCGCGACTTTGCTGCCGACGGCGTCGTCTACCTCGAGCTGCGCACCACCCCGCGCGCCATGCCTGCCGCGGGGTTGACCGAAGCCGGTTACGTCCAGACGATCCTCGACGGCATCGCCGAGTATGAACGCGAGCCACCCCGGTCTGAGAACGGGGTGGGGTTGAGGACGAAACTGATTCTTTCGGTGCGTCTTTTGTTTTTTTGCTACACTGCACTCACTACTTACCCCTTTATCCTTGCGCATTACATTCGGGGGAGGGGGGGTGTAGGTTTAGACTTCGAGAGGGACTTGGAGCTGGGAGGGGGACCGATGTCAACGTTTAGTTCCGTGCAACTAACAGCGTAGATCGACCGGCGCCACGCCCCTACGCAAGCGGCGCGGGTCCTGGCTCTAGCCAAGCAGTTCCTGGGCCGGGGCGTCGTGGGGATAGACCTGTGCGGAGAACCCGCGACCCCCCTCGACCCAGAGCTGTCGCCGTCTCGAGAAGCGAAGCCCGGTCAGGCTGGCATGACGCTGCACTTGCCGAGCCGAGTGCTCGCGAGTGACGCCGAGTTGGACACGCTGTTGGGGTGGCGGCCGGATAGGATCGGGCATGTGATCTGTGTCAGTGACCGCGTGAGGCGGGGGGATTATGGAGAGGCCTGGGATCGGGTTGGAGCTGTGCCTCAGCTGTAACGTGCATGCTGGGATGGTGTGTGGTGGGTTTGAGGGCCAGTGAGTTCACATTTATGCCTCATGCCTCATGCCTATCTTTCGTGACAGGGGCATGCTAACGAGGAGAAGCCACTTCGTGGGAGTGGTGGAAGATACAGGAGACGGTAGTGGCACTGAGCGTAAGTTTGAGCTCTGCCCACCTGAGCTGTGTTCTGACTCGAGCATCGGGCCATACTGACAGCTGCTCTTTGTAGACGGACGATGTAGGGGTCTTCGAAAGCCCCCTATCCAACGAGTATGCTCTCGTGGCCCAGCACTTCGGGCTTGACAGGTCCCAAATATGTGCGTTGGTGAGAAGGGGGGTGGATATTATCTTCGGAGGAGAAGAGGAGAAGAAGAGACTGCGGGAAATTCTCTGGGTGGAGTAGGAGAGGAGCGACAATTTGTAAACGTCGACGTCAACTGACAACTGAGGTTAGCTTCTAACGTCGGATGTTTTCATGATGTCACTCACCTGACTTGAAGCTCGTTAGTGCGAGATTGAGGCCCCACGCAAGGGGGACGGAGGAAATCAGAAGATAAAGGCAAGAAGGGAAAGGAAAAAGAGAAAAAGAAAGAAAACATAAAGAGAATCCGAAGCAGGCCAAAGTTATTATCAGCTGACAAGGAGAAAGTTCATCAATCATCAATCAATATGTAATCTAAGCCTCACAATCCTAATGCTATGCGCTCGCTCAATCATAAAACATCATGCTATGTAGGTACTGACAATCAAAAACGAGTGGAGTCTCGTAGGTTGTTATATATGTGATGCTCAACCTTTCCCCAACCTCCTGAGCCAGGGGAATCAATAAAGCAATCGTTACCACACCAGGCCTCCTGCCCCCTTTCCGACGACATCAATCAAATGGCCCACCGCCCTATGTTTTTCCTAGCCTAGAAAACCCTCAACGCCAGACCTAACATGTATCGAGAATTCGCCCTAGAAGCCGCCCTGAGCGCCAGGCGGGTGCGCATCCAGGTCCACCGTCTCAACCTGGCGGCGCTGGTGGGCGCTTCTCTGGACGAGGTTGCCAAAGTATCTCAGGGCATCACTACTTTCCTTGCGCACCTTGACCGTCTCATCGCGGCGGGTGTCGAGCTGCTCGACCGAGCGTTGGAGGCCGACCCGCAGAGAGTTGGCGGGGATGAGAAGGACCTTGCGTACGGTGCCAGAGATGCGGTGGCTGTTGGAGTGGACGTAGTCCAGCGCCGCAAGCTGAGCTGAAATCTTGGCGTTCAGCCGGTGCGGGAGTGAGTGAGGGATCTGGCTGAGGACGTAGAAGGCCATCGCCGTTGCTTTAATGATCAGTTAGTATGGAGAACAGAGTCGTGGAAATATGGGGATCGATGGCTTACCTGCTGCGACTACACCGGGGATAATCAGCCGGCGTAAATTGTCACTCCCTAGCACCTGGGCAACGCGGAGAGCGATATTCATCTGGCCGTATCCACTGACCACGCCAGTGCCGACCACGCCAGCAACAGTCAACGCCATGCCGGCCTTTTCCTCCTTCTGTAGGAGCGTGGACCAGTCGACAAAGTCCCAGAATTCCGTGGCAATGTCCACCTGGCGCGCTAGAGCATGCTTCTTATGTTGGAACATGACATCCGACTTGAAGTTGAGGTTCTCGTACTCATTGCCCAGGTGACGGAGGCCAAGCTGCTTGATCAGATTGACGCCGGAAACGGTTTTGGTTCGGGCTTGCTCCTCGCACTGTACAACCGAGGCCGCGATCTGGGAAAGCATAGCCTCCTTGAGGTCGTCGGCATATTGGAATGCGCTAAACACACCGGGGTAGGGGATCCCGAGGTTCCCCTCTCCTGCTTGAGCGATGGCTGAGTTGATCGTGGAGCGGGAGTGGTCGTACACATCCTTGCAGGTTCTCTCGATGGTCTGGTCAATCTTCTCACTGATCTCCGTCCTCGCCCGCCTGCTTGATTCAAGTTGGGGCTCCAGTTCCTGCAGCTCCTTGTTTACCCGATCGAACTCGGACTGGGCGACTTCTGAGTTGACGGTAGCCAACACATTCACGTCGTTCAGAATGTTCATCAGGTACGTTTTTGCCGGGGCCAACTTGGAGCGTGCACGTTTCTCCAGGACGAACCTGCGAAGGGATTGTTCCAGAGCGGAGAAGTCCCGCTCCATCTCCTTGTTCTTGCCCTTTCCTTTTGGGTCGTCATCCCCAGGATCGTCAAACCCGCCGCCGCCACTGGCGCTCCCGGAACCCCCGCTACCGGGGCCGCCGGGGCCGCCGGGAGGGGCGCGTGCGACGGGAATGGCCGTGCTAGATACGAAGTGCACTAGTTCCGCGGATTCCTTAAAAGTGTCAGGGCTCAGAGTCCTGATCTGGTTGAGGATCAGTTTCTGACACCGCTCCTTATCCCGGATGGTATCGTAGCCGTTCACGACGACAAAGAGATATGCCTTTTCGGCAGCCGCGGCCCTGATGAACTCGGTCGAGGTCTGGGTGAAGTGGTTGGTGGCAGAGACGACGAACACAACGACGTCAATCTCCTCCTGTCGTGCAAAGATGGCCGTGGTCTTGGTGGTGTCCATATTGAGACCCGGGGCGTCAATGAGGGCAATGTCCACAACACCGTTGTTGAGCAGAGACTCGTCGATGGTCCGGGCGTCTTTCACGTAGACCTTGCATTGCATATACAACTCGTTGTCCACGACAATCTTGTCCAGTTGCTGAAGAGAGAAGACGTCGTAGGTTGTTTCGTCGTGCCGGGTCGTAGATGGTGTTTCTATGAACGGCGTGAACCTCTTCAATGCCGCAGTTCTCTCGTGCATCAAGCACTTCGCAGAAAATGCTCGTGCAGGGCTGTTGGTCCTCAGGGAGGATTTTCCGCCTCATAATGCGTTGCAAAAGGTCGACTT